GTGTGACCCAAAAAGCAAAAAATTAAAAAAAATAATAAATAAAAAAATAGCTCAGTAACTGTGTGTGTTGTGGGACAGACACGAGCCTCCCCATGCTGTTATCTAACTGTTGGCACTGGGTCGCTCAGGCCCGCCCAGGCCCGGCACTGTGTCGACTCTCCACCTCTGAGCTTGTCTGTTCCCGCGTCTCCGCACAGCCACACCCTCAGTGTCAGGAGCGCTGGCTCCATCCGGAGATCTGGAGTTCACCCTGCCAGAGACGTGAGTCCTGAGGCTTCTCCCCACCCGGGCCGGGCGTGTCCTGGCCGGTCCAGGCTCCCCGTACGCTCTCAGCCCGGTGCCTGTACTCTGCTTCTTCTCTTTCTTCTGTTGTCTGGTCTGGGGCCTCGGGGTGCTTGGGCAGGGCTCCTGGCTTTGTGCTCGGGAGTGAGCCCCACGAGCCCCTGCTTTACCCATGCGAGCCTGGGAGTCATAAACCCCTCAGGTAGGAGCCCATGGACTGTCGCAGGCCTCCTTGGCTCAGTACCGTCATGTGACTAGAAAGAAACCGCCAGAAAGCCCGGCCACTTCTCCTGTGGGGCGGCTTTTGTTTCTGCTTTCTTGTTTTTGGTTTTTGGTTTCTTTGTTTTTGTTTTTTGCTTTTTGGGTCACCCCCAGCATGCACAGTGGTTCCTCCTGGCTCTGCACTGAGTAAGTACTCCTGGCGGTGCTTGGGGGACCATATGGGATGCTGGGAACCGAACCTGGGTCGGCCACATGCAAGGCAAACACCCTACCCGCTGTGCTATTGCTCCAGCCCCCTGCTTCCTTGTTTTTTGGCGCCTCATGCAGTGGTGCTCAGGGCTGTACCGGGGAGCACACGTGGCTATTTTGCGGGAATCCTACGTAGTGCTGGGGATTGAGCCCAGTCTGGTCATGGGCAAGGCAAGCATCTCTCTCTTGCTCTCTGGCCATTGACAGAACAAGGCGCGCAGCCCTGCGTCTTGGATTTCAATTTTTCTATCTGGAAAATGGGTTGAATTCCTCAACTCCAGCAACACAGACACAAAATATTTTGCTTGGGGGTCCTGGGGGTCGCTCCCAGCAGAACAGGGCAGAGCTGAGGGTGGAGCCGGGTTTACCCAGACAGAGATCACTAAGGGAGATGCCGCTGGGGCGCATGGGCCAGGCCTTGCAGCCTGCTCTGTGGACGGTCAGGGCCAGCCTGGGCAGACTTCCCCAGCCGCTCCACTCCCTCTCCTGACCGGCAGGGCTGGGGCTGTTTTTCTGGGTCTGAAAAGTTTCCCCGTGATCCTGGAAAGGACGGGCGGGCTGGGGTCCCTCCTGTGACAGGCGGGGGTTCCTCCTTCCCTCCTTCGACGGGTGGGGGTCCCTCCTTCCCTCCTGTGTCGGGCTGGGGGTTTCTTCCCTCCTGTTGAAGCACGCAGGTAACCCAGAGGCGCGAATTGTCGGTGCCAGTGCTGTGGGCAGCAAGCGAGCCTCCCGGGCTGGCAGCAGGCAGCAGACAGACAGTTCCTGGCCGGGCACCCACGGTGTAGCCTGGTGGGAGAGGGGCAGGGACGCTGATGCATCGGGGCGGGGTAGAGGCGGGCATGGGGCCTGTGGTCGGGTCAGGGTGGGGCAAAGACCCTCCTTCCCCTCCTCCCTCGCTCCCCCTCAGCATTCGGGCCCTTCAAGTGGGGTCCATCCGGGCCAACCCTCCCCAGGCACTTCCTGTCGCCTGTCTCCGGGGCACCGGAACCACCCCTCGCCCGCTCTTGCGGCTCTGTCTGTGCCCGTCGTCCTCCCTGCGGGCCTGCCCTGCTCCTGCCGCCCGCCCGCTGGTTTCTCCTCTTCCTAGACGCGGGGGCGCGTCTGCCGCCTTCCTGAGCACCAGCACACCAGCCTCTGGGCACCGCGCTGCATCCCTCCCGGGCTGGGGGGTTCAGGGCCTGTGTGACCCTGTGGTGAGTGGTGAAGTGGGGCAGGAGAAGGGAGGACAAGGTCCTGACCCCGGACGGTGGGGTGGAGCGGGCAAGGGCGGCTCAGGCTGAGAGGTGGCTGGGGCAGGCGTGAAGGAAGGAGGAAATGTGCCACCTGCGCCCTAAGACAGACAGGTTTGCGGGACCTGGGACTCCGCCTCGGAGTGACACTTGTCCCCGGGACATCAGCAAGGGGCCACGGGACAGGTGGGGAGAGGCAAGGCTGGAGCAGAGGCTGGTGTGGGACAGGCCCGAGCAGACGCAGGGCCTCCCTCTGGGACGTGCCTAGTGCTAGGGGAGAGAGACTTGCCAGCGAGGGTCTGACGGACAAGGAAATGATGGGCAGGCATCTGGGCAGTGAGAAATCAGAGGGGACTGCCTGAAGGTAGTGGCAGACAAAAGTCACGTGTCCACATCAGCCATCTCCCTGTCGTGGACATGCTTGCCTTTGACAGACCAGAGCCAGAGCGCGTCAGTGCTGGTGTCCAGCCAGAGGTCAATCACTTTGGAGAACCTTTATTCTAGGCCAAGATCCAGGAAAGTTAGATAACCATGGGTCAGAGGTCAGGGCGCACAGCTGCCAGCCGAGCCAGGCTTCATCTCCAGCCTCTGCTGGGACTGAGAGTTCATCGGGTCAGGACGCGGGTCGCTGCCTGTCGGGGGCTCAGGGAGGTGTGGGTCGCTACTGCGGGAGGGGTCACCCTGCCTGCCGAGGCCCCGCTTGCTTCCCCAGGCCTGTTCTTCCCGGGGCAAGACCAGCAGGACACGCGGACTCAGGGAGAGCCATGAGACAAAACTTCACTGCAGAGGGAGCCGGGGTGATGCCCCCTGACCAGCCCGGGTCCTGACCACCCGGCCAGCCCAGTCCAGGCTGCCATGGGAACAGGGCACCCTGTGCCTGTCCTGGCCAGCTCCCTGGAGTAAACACCCAGTGTCCTGGGCCTGCTCCCCAGCCTGGTGCTCCCCTCCTGGGCTGAGTGCTCCCTGCAGGGCCCAATGCTGTCTGGCCCAATGCTCCCCCCTCCCCCCCGCTCGGTGCTCCGCCCTGGACCTGGTGCTCCCCGCTGGGCTGGGTGCTCCCCGCCTGCTCTCTCTGCTGATGCACGTCCTGAAGCACATGAAGGTCCACTCGTGGGGGCTCAGACTCACGGCTAGCTGCTGCTGCTGCCGCCGCCCCCATGTCATGCTTCAAGCATTCTCTCGTTCTATAAAAACACGTCAGGCCCCGACGGCACCCAACACAACCCCCCGGTTTCCTGGGCACCGGAACCGGATTCTGCCAGCAGACCGGCTACTCCGAACCGCAAGCATGTCCACCTTCCTTGTTCGTGTTTTGTGGCGTCCATGCAGGAGCCATGTCTGCATGGCTCCTTTCCGCGCTGTCTCTCCCGTCTGTTTAGTTTCTGTGGGCGCGGCCTATCCGGGTGTGCGGTGGCCCCCTCGAGGGTCGGGCAGAGCGGCCCAGCCCCGGCACTGGCCCTCCACATGCGCACCTTTGCCCCCCCACAGCAGGTGGGAGCCGGTCGGTGTGGCAGGACGGGTCCGGCAGAGGCCGAGCGCGGGCAGTGCAGCGAGCGGGGAGAGCCCGAGGTGACTCAGCTGTTCAAACAGACAATTTCCTCCTGCCCAGAAGAAAAACCAGAACCGGTGGAGGGGCCCCGGGGCAGTCCTTCACCTGCTCGTAACTCGGCAAACCTCTCGGCAAAGGGGAGATAGGCGGGACTGGAACAGGGCGGCTCACAGGTCACACTCGCACGCAGCCAGTCCTGGTTCCAACCCTGACACAACATAAGACACCCCCGACCTGCCTGCAGTGACCCCTGGGCAGAGCCAGGAGGCCTGAGCAGAGAGGTGTGGCCCAAACACACACACACGCACACACACACACATACACACATACATACACATGCACACATATGCACACATGCATATACATACACACACACACAAGCATACATGCACACACATGCACATACACACATACATATATATAGACACACATGCATACACAGTCTACACCTGTTTCTGTGCTAACACCTCCTTGTTTGAGAGGCCTGCACGCCTGTGTATTTGTCAGCCCTGAGCGGCCCGACATGCTTGGGCCCCACGCACTGCCAGGAGTGGCCCTGGAGCACTGCAGGTGTCCCAGGAAAGTGGGTGTCACAGGCCCCAACAGCTGAGGGCAGTGCTGAGTTCCCGCTGGTTCCAGGGAGCAGGCCAGCTTCCTGGGCCCCACCACCGGTCATGAGGGGCACATTTGCCTTCGTGAAAAGCCCTGTGCGAGGGGGCCAGCAGCCTCAGGAAGCTGACAGGACATGAAGCACACACCCTGTGCAGATGTGCAGCTGCAGACGCAGGCCTGACTCCTGGCTCTGTGCTCAGGCTTGACTCCTGGCTCTGTGCTCAGGCACCACTCCTACGACTCAGGGAGTCCTATGAGGTGCCGGGGCTCAACCCCAGGTCAGCTGCGCAATGCAAAAGCCCTGAGTTGCAGAACAGGGTGCAGGCAGTGAGCGCCCGAGACTGGCACCCCACGCCCATGCGCCTGAGGGACTTGACAGCTGCCACGGGTGAGAAGGAGCCCCTGGGGGGTCTCGGCGGAGGGGAGTGCAGGTCTGCAGCTCCGCAAGAGGCTCCTGGTGCCATGGCGACTTGCCAGCCCAGTCCGTGTGGGGGCTGGTCCCACTCATGGCCTCTCTCACGTGCAGGCACAGCAGGACAGGGCAGCTGGCCGGCCTGAGCCACCGCGGGTGGCCTGTCTGCACCCCAAGGGTGCTGGGAAATGGCGGGAGGCGACCGCAGAGGCTCAGTGCCAGGGAGGGTGGACATCCCATGGGGACAGACACACGGGCAGACAGCAGGAAGGGATGCCGAGACCCTGGGACACCAGAGCACAGGCGGGGCTTCCCCAGGCCCAGCAGAACCCCCAGCACCCCCAGGGTCTCTTGAGGCAGAAGAGCTGAATCTGACGGGAGACCCTAAGCAGGTGACAGAGAGGTCAGGGGTCAGAGGTAGTACACTTTATTGATGGTTCTGCCGATGTCTTGCAACCCCCCACCCCCGCAGTCAGCCCCTGGGGTTGGCCACCCTGTCCTCCTGACGGGGAGCGATGCGTCTCCCAGACATGACACAGCAGAGCGGGGGAGGGGGGCTAGGGAGGGGCTGGGCTGCAGGGGTGAAGCTGGGCACTGCAGCAGGGGGACCCAGGGCACGGCGGGTCTGGCCGGCCCCCTCTGCGGCCAGTTGTGGTCACAGTGGACTGGCTTCGCTCTGCCGGGCAGCAGCTGGGGGCACAGGGGCCTGACCACAGCTGGGAGGGGAGAGACGGGCCCAGCATGCTCCCTGACCCCCGCCCACCCCCTGCTACAACGAAGGGGCATTCCCTCAGGCCTCAGAGGTTTCTAGAACATCACTGTGGACTCGCTGGCCATAATTCCAATTAGAAAAACGTGTCTGAAACTTAGGTGCGACCGAGGCCATGGAACCAAGCGGGGAGGTAACGGTGAGATCTCAGCTGGGAAAGCTTTGGGGTTCTGGGGGGCCCCGGGCACCTCTGCCCGCACGGGTGGGGGCGGCCCCAGGGGGCAGCGGGCCCCAGGACAGGAGGGGACTGGGGACGGGACGCAGAAAGCCGTGACCCCTGGGACGGAGTCGAGGGCCTGGGCTGGAGGGCCGCAGGACCCCCGGGGACAGGCCTCATGGTGGGCGCTGGCCGGGCCCAGGCGGAGGGTCAGGCCTCATGGCCGCTGCCACCGGGCGGCTCCTGGTGGGCGGCCGCGTGGCTGGGGGTGGGCTCGAGCGTCAGCATCTGCCGCTGCACCAGCTTGGTGTAGAGGCCGCCCTGGGCCAGCAGCTGCTGGTGGGTGCCTCGCTGTACCACCCGGCCCTTGTCCAGCACCACGATGAGGTGCGCTCGCTCCACAGTGCTCAGCCGGTGCGCTACGATCAGCACCGTGTGCCTCTGCAGGTTGCCGTGGATGGCCTGCTGGATCTGGGGAGGTGGGAGGCGGCTGGGCCCCACAGCTGCTCCCTACACCCTCCTTCTCCCGGGCCAGGGGCTCAGTAGCGACCCCGCCTCCCTGAGCCCCCCGCCCCACCTGGCTACGCCCCTTATGCTCCCCAAAGCGGGGAGCACCTTTGCCTAGAGCAGCCTGCTCGAACCCAGGCCCGCCTGCTGGGGACTCGAGCTTTAACTTCACGGTGTGGCCCGGGAGACACGGCGCGGCACAGGGCACTCACCAGGTACTCGCTCTCTGCGTCCAGAGCGCTGGTGGCCTCGTCCAGGATGAGCACGGGCGGGTTCCGCACCAGCGCCCGCGCCATGGCCACACGCTGCTTCTGGCCGCCGGACAGCTGCGCGCCCTTCTCGCCCGTCTCTGCGAGGGGCGCCAGTGAGCGGGACAGAGTGCCAGGCCCAGCACGACCCAGTGTGTGACCTCACGCCCAGGGACCGGGTGCGCCCCCACCCCCCCCAGCCGCCGTGGCAGCCCGAGTGAGTGGGTTTCTTCCATGCCATTGACTCCCCGCCCGTCCCCCCAGCAAAGCAGCTGTGGGCTGTGTGCCGGCCGGCAGGGCCCCCACCATCCGTACCTGTGTTATAGCCGTCCTGCAGTTCCATGATGAAGCCGTGGGCATTGGCCTTCTGTGCGGCCTCCACCACCATCTCAAAGGGCACGGCGGGCAGCCCGTAGGAGATGTTGTCTGTAATGGAGCGGGCGAACAGCACGGGCTCCTGGCTCACCAGGGAGATCTGCGGGGCGGGGGGGGGGGCACGGCCCGCTGTCAGGGGCGCTGCCCTCAGCTGGCCCCAGCCTCGCTTCCTCGCTTAACCCACCTCCTGGCACCCACCCCCATCCCGCGCACCCATGGCTGTTCCACCTAAGTTGTGCTCTCTGCCCCCATCCATCCAGACAGAGAAAGGACATGAGACACAGCAGAACCCAGGCCACAGAGACCCCCCTGCAGTTGCCCCTCTCTCTGGGAGCACTTTAGAGGAGTTGCTGGCCGGTGGTCCCAGTGTTAGGACTATGGGCCAGAAAAATAATACCAGGAACTGGAGCGATAGTACAGCAGGGAAGGCATTTGCCTTGCATGCAGCTGACCTGGTTACGATCCGCAGCATCCCCTAAGATTCCCCCGAGCACCACCAGGAGTGATTCCTGAGTGCAGAGCCAGGAGTAACCCCAGAGCACCACCAGGTGTGACCCCCCCCAGAAAAAAAATAAGAGAAAGGCAGAATATATTCGCTAAACTGTGGGTGGTGCTGGAGGTTCCCCGTGGGTGGTGACCGGGAACCCCCACATTAAAGGTACGGAAAATTCTTTAAACCTGGGAATATCGGGGCTGGAGCAATAGCCCAGTGGGTAGGGCGTTTGCCTTGCATGCGGCTGACCCAGGTTCGATTCCCAGCATCCCAAATGGTCCCCCGAGTACTGCCAGGAGTAATTCCTGAGTGCATGAACCAGGAGTAACTCCTGTGCATCGCTGGGTGTGACCCAAAAAGAAAAAGAAAAAAAAAACGAAAACAAAAAAACAAACCTGGGAATATGGGGGACATTGCTGCATTTCACTGGAGCCTATGAGAACTGTTTTAACAAGGAACAGTGGTTTGTGTCATATAAAAATGAAAACCCAACATAAATCAAACGGAGGCAGCCATAAAAGAGGCACCCAAGTGGCAAATAAACCTGAGTAGCGGCACTCGGCGTCCTGAGTCGGGAGCTGTGGACGCCCACAGCAAGGGGCCCGGAGCCAGTGGGCATGCGCTCCAGGCCGCCTGGCCCTGTGTGGCGGCGGGCACTGGCATGCTCTCTGCCTCCGCCGCCTTGAGACCCGCTCAACTGCTGTTTGGGACCCGCTGGGGGGCTCCTAGGGGCCACCAGCCACCACCAGCCGTGACTCACCCCTTCCGGTTTGGACTTGTTTGAAGACCACACGCCGTGAGTGCCTGGCCCAGTGCCCGGGCCCTGCCTGCAGGCATGTATGCCAGCAGTTCTCCACCCCAGAAGGCCCTGTGAGGTCCCAGGGCTGGGAGAGTCACACTGGGCTGGGACCCACGTGGGTCACACAGCGTGAAAACACAGAAGCCTTGCATCACGGCGGCCACAGAAACAGAGTCAAACCACGGCCTGGTCCTGGCTGGGGGCGACACCAGGAGCTGGCCCGGGAGGAGTCCAGGCCGGGCTGCATGTGGCAGGGGTGGGGCGGGATGCATCGCGCTCTGCGGGTCGTGCACCTACCACACGGTGCAGGTACTTGTGATCGTAGGCGCTGATGGGCTTCCCGTCCAGCAGTACGCGGCCCCCCTCCAGCGGGTAGAAGTTCTCCAGGATGTTGACGCAAGAACTCTTCCCGCTGCCCGAGGGCCCCACCAGCGCCGTCACCTTCCCCGGAGACAGGCTGAAGGAGACGTTCTGTGGGCCCGGAGGACACAGCGTGGGGTGCAGGCTGGGGCAGGCTGCCCTCCCGGGGGGCTCCTTTCTAGTCTCTGGCAGCCCCAGGGAGGTTCCTTCTGCAGGAGTCATTCGTTCAGCACAAACACCCCTCCTGGGAGCAGCCCTCCCTGATGCATTCAGCACAAACTCGGCCTCCTTCGAGCAGCCCCCCGTGAGGGGCCAGCATGCCTACCGCTTTTCGACGTCACCCACGCTGCCTGTCCGACTTCCCAGGACTGACTGGACCCTGGGCAGGTCTTTTCCATGAGGGCCGCCCTCTGCCCGAGGCTTGGGGGAGGGGGGCGCACAGATCTCACCTGGAGAACCTGCGTGTGCGGCCGCGTGCGGTAGGTGAAGGTCACGTCCTCGAAGTCCACCCGGCCCTCCAGGTGGTCGGGGGCCAGTTTCCCGTCATGCACCATGGTGGGCTGCCGGTCGATGAACTCGAAAACCTTCTCGGCGGCGCCCACGCCCTGCATCAGGCCGCTGTACACGGAGCCCACGGACTGGGCGGGCCGCGGGGGAAGGGGCCGCTTAGCCCTGTCCATCTGGGGGCCTCTGGGCTCCAGCCCAGGCCTGCACAAGCACAGCAAGCGCCCCGGGACGAGCGAAGGACCCCCTGGAACGTGGGGCCCAGGAGGGGGCCCCCCAGCCCCAGCTGCTGTCAGCTCAGCGGGTGGACGCTCAGGGCTGCGGACAGTGACGCCCCCGCACCGCCTCGAGGGGGAAACCTGGTCACCGAGCAGCCCGGCTCCTCCTTCCCACTGCTCAGCTGCGCGCAGCCCCGCCCCCTCCTGAAGCCCCTCCCCCCACAAAGCCCTGCCCCCTCACCTCCACGCAGCCCCGCTCCCTCCCTTCCTAGGAGCCCCGCCCCTCCCCGAAGCCCCTCCCTTACCTCCATGCAGCCCCGCCCCTCCCCCAAGGCCCCGCCCCTCTCCCCATGCAGCCCCGCCCCCTCACCTCCATGCAGTCCCCCAGCACGAACTCATAGATGATGAAGGAGATGAGGTTCCCGCTGCTCATCTGGCCCGAGATGACCAGGTGGCCCCCATAGTAGAGGATGCTGACCTGGACCACCAGCAGCGTGAGCTGTGGACAAGGGCTGCGTCAGGGACCCCCACGTCCCGCCCCCGCCAGCCGTGACGAATGCTGGCCTGCCCATCATTCCCACCTCCCTCCTGGCCCAGCCAGCCGCCCCTCCCACCCCCGTGAGGATGGAGCTTTGTGGGCCTCAGGGGGGGGTGGGGGGGCTGGGGGGTGCAGTGACTGCTGGGGGCTGGCTGGCTGGTGCCGGAGCGGGACAGTGAGGGCGCGAGAAAGGAGGCGCAAAACCGGACCAAATGTACCACTGAGGCCCCCAGGGAGCCCCGAGGGCAGCTCCAGACTCCAGCACTGCCTTCCGGGTTGGGGCTCTGCCCTAGGTACCCCAGCCCTGAGGACAGGCAGCTTCCCCCACCTCCAACCCTGCCCCCTCCTATCCCAGCAGGGGTGTTGGCCCCCTCCTCCAGGAGCACCCACGGGCACCTGCGGACGTGGCCTGGCCGGGCAGGGGCCAGGGCTCCCCTCGGGGGCTGCGCTGCCTCTGTGGGCCCCTGGCCCCTGGGTGGGGGTGGGGTGGGGCGGGGTGCCTACCCCGCTGCCCCAGACGTAGCAGGTGTAGGCGGCTGCCTCCCTGCGGTTCAGCTTGTACACCTGCTGCAGCCTCCGTGCGTACGCCTCGGCCTCCTCCTCCTCGTTGGCGAAGCTGCGCACCGTCTTCATGGCGCTGATGGTCTCCTCGGCTGTGGAGCTGGCTCGGGCCAGCGCGCTCTGCACCTCCTTGGACAGCCGCTGCGGGCAGGGCACAGGGCAGAGGCCTGGACACGTGGCTCACGGAGCGGCCCACACGCGGCGTTTCCCCGGGACAGAGCGAAGAGCCCAGAGTCCCGTCCTCTCTTGCCCCGGCCGGACCACCAGGCTCCACTGGGCCCCAGGACAAGCTCCAGAGCCGGAGGGGGAGACTGTGCTTTTCTCTTTTGGTTATTAGATTTCTGGGGGGCCCACCTGGCCATGCTCAGGGCTCTGAGCTCAGGGCTCACTCCTGGAGGTGCCAGGGATGAACCCCAGGTCAGCCACATGCCCCAAGTGCCTCTTCTGTCCTGTGGCTCCGGCTCCGGCTCCAGGACCATGAGGTCCTGACTGCTCCGAGTTGGCTGTCCGCACCCCCCCGCCCCCCCGGAAAGGCCCTGGTGTCCCATCTGTGCCACCCAAGAGACAGGTGCCCTGGATGGCCGTCTAGGCCATGCACTGCACGAGAGCCCGTGATGAAGGGGCGCTAGCGGTCACTGGCCACACCAGACCACGTGAGAGTCTGCGGGGGGGCCTGGAGACCCCAGACCCAGGCTCAGGGGTGGGAGGTGCACACACACAGGCTGTGGGGCCTTGTCCACCGTGTGGATAATGGGGAAAAGAGAGCTGAGAGCTGGTCCTGAGGGGCAGGTTCTGGAAGCATCCATGGGCATGGTGGTGATTCCATCCGACCTTCACTCAGCCGGGAGGGCTGGCCTGCACTCCCGGGCCCGCCGCCCACCCCGAGCTTGAGGTACAGGGGCTGGAGTGGGCCTCAGGGATCTCAGGGTGCCTGGCCCGGCCCCAAGCAGCTCCAGGGCAGCAGCCGAGTCCAGCTGCCATCCACTCTCCCTGCACCCGCTGCCCTTCCCAGGACGCTGCAGGACGCTGACCCTGCTGGGGGGCCTGGGCGCGGGCAGGTAACAGGGAGACAGGCCCCACGCTTGGCTGTCCTGGCCCCCAACTTGCTCGCTCCTGGGGACCTAAGACCCCCTGGACACACCCTTTCCAGCCCCGCCAGGTCCTGCACCCACAGCAGTGTCCCTGTGTTCTGCCCGCCACAGCCGAGGATGCAGAGACACCCCCACTTTCGGCTCTACCTGCAAGTGCCACCACCATGTGGCGAACCCCGGGGCCCAGCGCCCCCAGGCCTGGGCAGGGGAGGGGACACCCACCTTGTAGTACTTGCCGTAGGTGTCGGACACCATCATGATGATGGGGAAGCCCATGAAGGTGACCAGCGAGAGCTGCCAGGACAGGCTGAACATGAAGACCACCACGCCCGTGACCTTGACCGTATTGCGCAGGAAGATGTTGATGTTCTGGGACACCAGGTCGCTGACCATGGTGGTGTCCGAGGTGAGGCGGGAGATGAGGTCGCCTAGAGCACAGGCCGCTCAGCCCCGGCACAGGAAGCACCTCCGGGGGCCCGCTCCCACTCGGGGTGTCCCGGGACCCCTGCCTGCCAGCCCCTGGGGGGGTCAGGGCCTTTGCGTCGCGTCAGCCCCACAGCCCCGGGCCCCGCCGGCACCCACCTGTTCGGTTCTCGTCAAAGAAACTCGTCTCCTGCGACACCAGCGAGCGGAAGAGGCGGTTGCGGAGGCGGATGTTCAGTCTGGCAAATATGAGGGTAAAAATGCCGCCCCGAATACCTGCGGCACACGAGCTAATTGCAGATAAGAGACGTTACACAGAGCCGACACCACGACCCAGCTGCCCGCCGGGGCCCCGCTCCCTGCCAGCGCCCCACAGCCATGGGGCACGTCTCAGACCCACCCCCACCCCCGAGGCCAGGCCCGGCCGGGGGCGGTGGCTACCTGCCGACGGCCAGCAGGCACATGCCCAGCACGGCCGTGCTGAACTGCTCCATGCTCTTCTGGATGACGATGCCGTCGATGGCCCGGCCCGTATAGTAGGGCAGGAAGGTCTCCCCTGCGGAAACGGGACCTCAGTTCCCTGCAGCCTGGGGTGGGGGGCCCTCCCTAGGCTCACTCTCCCATGGAAGTGGCAGCCTCGGCAGGCTGGGGGGAGGGGGCCCTCCGCACGGTTTCCCGGGGACCCACGCCCTCCCGTAGGGGCTGGGCGCCCTCTGCCGGTCAGCACAGGAACCACGAAGTGTCCACAGACTCCAAGGGCATTTCACCACCTGAGCATCCACGGCCCAGCTGGACACTGAGCTGGGCCGGAGGAGGTCTTGGAGCCCAGTGTGAAGGAGGCTGGAGGGGTGCAGGAAGCTGGCCCCCCTGCATCTTGGGACTGGCAAGATTTCTTTCGGTGTTCTTGAAGAGGGGTCCGCATGGGGGGGCTCACTGCTGGCTCTCTGCTCGGGCATCGCTCTGAGCAGTGCCCTGGGGCCCCAGGAAGGGGTCCCGCAGGACAGGCAAGTGCCACCCCTAGTCCTGTCGAGCAGGCCTGGAAGGTTTCTTTAGGCTCTGAGCACTGACCTCCAGGAAGTGCTCACTTCCTCCAGGCCCTGGGTGTGGGCCGGGGGCTTGCCTGGGCACCCGGAGGGAGCTCTGAGCCCACACCTGTCCCTTAGCTCGGCCCCCTGTGCTCCCTGGGCAGGACATGGACGGCAGCTGGGGAAGGACAGGACTCAGCGAGTCAGGTGGGCTCCCGGCCCCTGCCCCACTCTCTGCAGCCCAGAGCCTGGCAGGTCAGAGAGCAGCTACCTGGTTCCGCGTCAACCCTGGCCATAGCCAAGAACACACAAAGGGGTGCACTTAGGAGAATCCAAGAAGGCTTCTCTGAGGAGGTGACAAGTAGGAGAAACTTCAGACAAATGTGAAGTTCCCAATACAGCTGCTGCCACGTACAGTCTGGCAGGGGTTGCTGAGCATCTGCTGTGTGAGAACACACACAGACACACACACAAAACACATAGACGCAGACATACACAGAAACAGACACATACCTAAACAGACAGTTGCAAACATACAGACACAGACATACACACAGACACACATACACAGACACACATTGATTCACACACACACAGATAAACACAGACACATACACAAATAAAACAGACACAGATGCAAACACACAGACACAGAGACCCACACAGACACACAGAGACCCATACAGACATAAACAGAGACACAAATACAGACCCCCAGAGACATAAACACAGACATATACATGTAAACAGATAGATACATACACTGATACAAACACAGATACAGACACACACACACACACACACACACACAGAGCGGCAGTGCAGTGTGACTCCTTCCCGCCTTGGAAATTTCCAGAACTTTTCCCTGTAGTTAGCTCCTCACACGGGTGTTGGGGGGTGGATTCAACCCTAACCCTTACCTTTGCCCCATGTGAGAATTTTTTTCTTTTTGGGTCACACCCAGCGATGCTCAGAGGTCTCTCCTGGCTCTGCACTCAGGAATTACTCCTGGCGGTGCTTGGGGGACCATATGGGATGCCAGGGATCAAACCTAGGTCGGCCGCATGCAAGGCAAACACCCTACCCGTTGTGCTATCACTCCGGCCCCCATGTGAGAATTTATTGGGGTGGGGCATGCGTGTTTATGGGGTCCCGGGCTGTTCCCACCACACTCTATGCACACAGGCCACAAGAGCAGCCACGGCAGCGCCGGGCCCTCCAAACCCACCCCTGGAGATGCGGGGACGGGCTCAGAGGGGGCAGGGATCGGACGTGTGGGCTCCCTGCACCCCGGGCACGGACCCCAACCACTGAGCCATTACCGTGGCCCCCCACTGAGGCTTGAGCCCTGTGGAAAGAGGACCGAGACCGCGGAGGACAGAGGGGACGGCAGGGCTCCCCGGGGCCCCCACTCACCCAGCGCCGCCACGATGAGGAAGAAGGAGGCAGCCACGAGAAAGGCCACGTCGGGCTTGGTGTAGGACAGCAGCTTCTGCAGAGTGGCCCCTGACGCCTGCTCTGGTGCGCGCGGGCCCTCAGCGGGGAAGGCCTCAGCCTCGGCCTCTGCCCCACGCCCCAGGGCCTTGGCGTCCGGCCGCACGGTGGCCAGCAGCCGCCACAGCAGGAACGAGGCGGTCAGGGACACGTAGGTCCACACGAAGAGGGCCCAGAACCAGGGGTCCCGCACGGGCCTGCGCACCTCAGAGAAGAGCAGCAGCTTGACCACGGCGTAGATGCCCACGAGGAGACACACGAGCGCGATGACGCTCCAGGACGCCCGCAGGCGCCGTGGGCCCAGCGCACTGTTCTTGGCCACACCAAGCGTGGCGCCCAGCAGCAGGCAGCTGCGGTACAGGCAGGCGGCCCACAGGTCCAGCACCGAGTCGAAGACATTAAAGTGGCGGATGTCCTCCAGCAGGCCGCGGTCGGGGTGGCTGAGCAGGTAGATGGCCGTGGTCACCGCGACGTCCACGCTCATGAAGGCCAGCGTCGCCAGCACCGCTTTCCACAGCTGCATCCTGATGGTGGGCGTGGCCCGGGCGGGGCAAGCTCACAGGGTGGTGGTCATGGTTCCCGGGGCCAGGCTGGACCTAAGGGGCCGGGGCAGCAATGAAGGCGGCTGGCTGGGGGGACGGGGACGGTCTGGGGGGTGGGAAGGAAACCCCAGGACAAGGCCCTGGGATGCAGCCCTGGGCATCGCGGCCGTGGGGGCCTCTGAGGACGAAGCCCAACCCCTCGGAAGTGGCCTCCCAGTCTGGACCTGCTTGTGCGGGGTGTGAGCACACCCGCAGGTCTCCGGGTGACAGCGAGGGCCATGGTCTGCTCACCCCTCATGCCCCAGACACAGGCTGGAGAGCACAACGGGGAGGGCCTGACCGGGGTTCAATCCCCAGCACCACACACGGTCCCCAGAGCATGGCCAGGAGTGATTCTTGAGCACAGAGTCAGGAGTCAGCTCTGAGCAGCCGATCCTGACTAAGCATAGCTTTGTAATCCACCGTTTCCATTTTAGAAAGGTGTCTTTTAGGGGGCTGGAGCAAGAGTACAGCAGGGCAGGGCGCTTGCCTTAGTAGGGCATCTGCCCTGCACACGGCCGGCCAGGGTTCCATCCCTGGCATCCCATAGGGTCCCCCAAGCACCACCAGGAGTGATTCCTAAGTGCAGATCCAGGAGTAACCTCTGACCACCACATACACTCACACACACACTCCCACACACACACACTCACATACTCATATACATACACTCACACCCACTCACACCCACACACATTCACACATATACACTCATATACACATACACTCACACAGTCTCACATAAACACACTCATACACACACTGACACACACTCATATACATAGACACTGATACACACATACACTGACACACACACTCACACACACGCACATACACTCACACACACGTGACTTTTATCCTAAGGAGGCGACTGTGGTGGGCTCCTGCCTGGGGGTCGTGTCTGGACACCTGACTGGGAGCCTGAGGGTGTCAGGCCAACCCCATCCTCTGGAACGCTGAGAAGGAGCGGAGACCCATCATATTCACAACGCAGAAACCCTGGAAAACCCCCTCTGTGAGGTGCTCTTTGGGCCCTCCGCAAACATCCACACTGGGTGTGGGTGGGCACCCCACCTCCTGCGGCAGCGGCACTGTGCTCGAACCCCAGCCCTCGCTCTGTGAGCCGGGCATGGCAGCTGAGCGCGTGTCACATCTGCACTGGGCACTCGGCTGGCAGGAGACTTGAGGGACAAAGGGCGTGGGGGGAGGTGGGCCTCGGGGACCCATGTACGACCTCCTCACTGTGGCCCCTCCACTCTGGGGTCTTTGCAAAGGACATGGCTGCAGGCGTGTGGGGACTGGGGCAGTGCCCACACAGCTCTGGAGGCAAGGCCACCACATCAGCACATGCCTGGGCATCCACATCCTTTCAATGTGGGGAAACTGATACTGCCCTGCCCACTGCAGTCCCCCAGAGCTATTCTCCCTGTCCCCTGCCTCCCTCCCTTCAGACAGGAACCAAGGTGGGCCCCGCAGCCCTCTGGACACGTGGGTGTCACCCCCAGAAGCAGCGAAGAGCCCCAGGGGGCGCGCTGTGGGGCAGAGACGGCTCTGCCCGCCCCCGTGCTTGATGCTAACCCCCAAACCCTGAAGGTACAATCACACCTCCAGGGTGCTGAGGGTGCTGTGGAGAGCCGGGGTGGGGGTCCCCCGTGGGGGGGCTGCCTCGCCCCAGGGCTCTGCCTCTTCCTGAGCAGCTCTAAGGGAAGGGGGGCCCAGATACCCCTGTGGGCTGGCTCTGCCCAGGCCCATCTGCAGCAGCAGAGGCTGGGGGTGGGTGGCTGGGAATAAAGACCAGGAGCCAGGACCCGGGAAGGGTCCCGGTCACCAGCCACCACGGCCGTGGCTAGCCTCTGGCAGGGAATACTGTGGGGCCCCTGGCCAGAGAGCGGGGCTCAGAGCTGGGTTCAAACCTGGGGTTCAGAGCTGGGGCAGGGGCTGGGGGAGGGGCTGGGCAGGGGTTGGGCGGAGCTGGGGCAAGCGCTGGGGTTGGCAGCCCCAGGGCCTCCGATCCTTCCCTTCACCCCTCCTCTGCCTTGCCCTGGGGGTCGCCCCAGGAGTGCTACCCTCACAGGAACAAAGCCTGGTAGCCTCAGAGACCATCTGGGCCTCAGGGTGCAGTTGGGGAAACGGAGGCCCAAGGGGGGTTGAGGCCAGGGTGGGGTCACTCAGCAAAGTTGGGGTAGAGCGGCGGGGCCCCAGTTCCTGAGTGCTGAGTGCTGAGTTACTCCAGCCCGGCTCAGGTTACGCCTCCTGAGCGCCTAGTTAACTTTACTCTGACTCTGCACCGTGGCCAGTCCGGTCAGTCGCTGTCCAGGCCAGACCACCTGCCAGGACAGAGTGGTCAAGGTGGCTCTACTCTGCACGTGGCCAGGTGCAGCTGCAGGGCAAGTTGGGGTTACTTGGCGCTTGAGAATGGACCAAGGACCAGGCGGTGGCTGGAGCTGCAAGAGGCACTGCCCGCTTGACCCCCAAGACCAAGGGACCTGGTCAGCGCCCGGCGGCTTCACCACCGGGGGAGGCGCTTTCCAGACGCTGTGGACGGTCACTTACAGGCTCTCAGCACCACGGCTTGCACCTGGGTGTCCCCCACGTGTCCCTCCCCGCGTCACAGCAGCTCGGGACACTTACTCAGGAGCACCGCAGGGCCAGGGGAGGGGGCCTGAGGCCCGCGGGCACCTATGAGCAACCAACGCTTGTTTTTTTCCCCTTTTTGCTGAGATCCCACAGGGGCGCGGGCTCCCGGGACCGCGTTCCCAGTTAGGGCGAGGCGTGGGCCGGGGGCCCCGTCCAGCCCCCGCACTCCGTGGCGGACCAGGTTATCTCGGCATGGGTGGCGCTGGGGCGCGTTCCCGCGGCCTCGCCCGTGCCACCCGCACCTGCCCCAACCTGGTCGGGCCAGCCCGAGCTTATCGGGCTTCACTGGGGCCGGAGGGAGGGGGCCCGCCGCAACGGGGGCGCGCGGCGCGGACCGCCCCCCCCTCCGGCCTCCGCACGCGCAACCGAGCGCCACGGCCCGTGGGCAGCGCGGGAGGCCGCGGGGCCGGCCGAGGCGCCCAGGCCCGGGCGCTGGGGCCCTCGGGAGACGCCCCCGCGGGTGCCTGGGGACGACAGCCCTCGGGGCAGCCCTGCAGCCTGCGGAGCCCCCGGCCGGCGGCGCCCCCGGCCCTGCGGCGCGGCGGGATGCGGCGCGGCGCGGCGGAGATGCCTACTCATGCCCCGGCCGGCCCCCGCGGCTGGCGCGCCCGGGGACGACGGGCCCCGGGCCCCGGGCGTCGCGCCCGCCCTGCCCCCTTACCTGGCGCCAGGTGAGCCGCGGGCACGGGGCGCAGCGGGCTCGGGCCGCCCGGGCTCCTCGGAGCCTGCGCTGGGCACTGCACTCGCTCCGCGGCTCCCGAGACTCCTCCCGCCTCCAGCGCACGCTGCGCCGCGCCAAGGTCGGAGCCGGCACCCGGGCGGCCGCGGGGCGGGGCGGGGCCGCGGCGGGGCGGGGCCGCGAGTACTGGACTCCGATTGGGGGATGCTCCGGGGGCGGGGATTCAGGGCGGGGTCGCGGCAGGGCGGGGCCGCGAGGGCAGGGCTCCGATTGGGAGGTGCTCCGGGGGCGGGGTCTCTGGGCGGGGTCGCGGCTGGAGGGCTGGCCTGTGATTGGGGGGTGTCCCAGGGGGCGGGAAATCGGGGCGGGGCCTGCACGAATCTCCCGCCCCCCCCCCCCCCCCCCCGCCAGACCCGGGTGCATGCCCGGTGTCCTCAAATGCCTTCACCTCCTGCTCTTAACACGCCGGTGCGGTGCGTACCACCGGTGGCTCACACTTGGATTTACTTATTTAACACAAATTGCAGCCGGTTACACCTGTCTTCGTGTTAGGGACAGCCCCTAGTCCTGAAAAGGGAGAGGGCTAGTGACCCTTGTTCACCCGTTGCCCTTCTAAACGTTTGATCTGGGGGAAGGGTGGGCCCTATCCTGTAGTCTGTTGGTGCTCAGGGATGAGCATGATGCCATGCAGGGGATGGAGCCCGGGTTGGCAGTGTGCAAGGCAAGCGGTGTGCAAGGCAAGCTGTGCTGTCTCTCTGGGCCCTAAATGTTTGAGAGCAGCAGTGAGCAGAACAGAGGTGAGTGTGTGTGTGTGTGTGTGTGTGTGTGTGTGTGTGTGTGTGTGTGTGTACCAGGAATCTAATAGGACCTGGGACAGAAAGGCTTCTGCTCTACAACTTGATCCACATCCCTCACACTTTTTAGTTTTGAGTTTTGTTTTTTGGTCACACTTGGCTGTACTCAGAGCTTACTCCGAGCTCTGTGCTCAGAGATCACTCCTGGTGAGGCTGAGGGGACCATATGGGGTGCCTGGGATTGAACCTGGGTCAGCTGCCTGTGAGGCAAACGCCTAAGCCCCTTTCTATCTTCTATCTCTTCAGCCCTCACTTTCCTTTTAGCCCCTGAAGGAGAATCTCCTCTACTTGGCCTGCTGCTGGAGGGACACTGGTGAGAGTTTGCAGCTTGCTGCTGTGGAAGGGAAAAATCTAGAAACGACCTGAATGCATCACTCAGCAAATATCCTGCAGCAGGAAAGCGCTCAGTCTACAGCAGCCAGAGAAGCTCTGAAAGGTGAGGAAGGAGCCCTGGTGAGTACGTGTGTGTGGGGGGGGGGTAGGAGAATGAGAATGGCTATTCATGCAATTCAGAGAAGCCGGGGAACCCAGAAGTGAGAGTGACTCGAGGCTGGGTCTGCATCCAGTTGTAGTCCTTTCCGGGTGTGACCTCAGGCAGGTATCCTGCAGGCAGGTGACTGTTCCCTAACTTAGAGACCTTTGGCCTCCAAACGAAAACACAGGCCCTGGCACAGGACAGTCCCCTGTTTGGGCCTTCTCTAGTTTCCGGGTCTATATCTGTGCATCCTGTTCTTCGCCCCAGCAGTCTCCTAGTTCCCAGTCCTCAGCCCGCGGGCCTTTCTGAATCGGCAGGCATGGGGCTGAATGAGAGTCAGGATGGGGCAGGATTTGGCTGCTAGTGCCCCCGGCGAGTCTGCAGGAAGACCTGTTATGTTAGGGACTGTGTTCTGAAAAATGGATGGTATGTGGCTGGCACAACTGCCAATGTAGTCAAAAAGGATGGGGCGGGGGTGGGAGGTGGTTCAAAGGGTTGGAGTACACACTTCACACAAGGGTTCAATCCTGCCACTGCACAGCATCCTAAGTACTGCCGAGAGCTACCCCCCACCCAACACTGTTAAGTGTGGCCTCCAGAGCAAAAGGAAATAACAGTCCTTTTCATTTCGAATTGTTCATTGCTATTTCATTTCCTTTCCTCTGCTGTAATTTTTTTTTAATTTTTGGGTTACACCCAGCGATGCACAGGGGTTACTCCTGGCTCTTCACTCAGGAATTACTCTTGGCAGTGCTCGGGGGACCATCTGGGATGCTGGGAATCAAACCCAGGTCAGCCGCGTGCAAGGAAAACGCCCCCCGACCGCTGTTCTATGCTCCAGCCCCCTCTGCTGTAATTTTTTGATGTTCCCGACCTTAAGACTGTATTAACCTACAGCAACCAGAAGGATGTGATTTTGCTCTGAACAGCATCCCCTGCCTATTCCTGAGCCTCAGCTTCCACATCTGTAAAATGGGGATATATCTCATGCAGTTTCCCAACGTGTCAGGGTTGCCCAGAGTGCTCGTGGAGCTTGGTGCTTGCTGTAAGGACTCCCCAGGCTGTTCCCATGGGTGCCGGAGTCCAGGTGGGGGCGGGGACAGCGTCTCCAAGACAGAGGGGCCCAAGGGAAGGCTGGCCTATCTCAGGAGCTGCTGCGAAGGGAGAAACCCAAGGGGCAGGCTCCTGGGAGAGGCAGGAGAATGATGTGATACTTTCCTGGAGGGTAGGCCCTTGGCCATCCTGGAAATCAGACTCCTGAAGCCTGAACGCCTGGGGGCGGGGGGGGGGGTGGCCGCTGTCCCCTGGAAACTGTCCCCTGGAAGTTACTGTCCTTGGGAGGTGGCGGCGGAGATCCAGGAGTTTCAGAACGCTCTGCCAGGCCCATGTTCTTGTGCGCAGGGACTCAGAGTTCACCCCAGAGAGGGGCAGGGGCCCTGAAGGGACCTGGCTGCCCCCTTAGCAAATCCCTTCCCAGCTAACTCCACTCCACTGAGGCTGTGGGAGCAGCCTGGGTCATTCACCTGCCTGGATCCGACTTACAGGATCATTTCGCACATCTGTGAAATGGGCACAGCTCCTTCTTTGGAGGGTCTGGGGTGAACAGTCACATCTCTTTGCTTTTTTTTTTTTTGGAAGTAAAAACAGGTTTTGTTTGTAAGTTTCTGAGGTGTGGAGAAAGAGTGACGTGTTCCAGAGTGGAGACAGGACCACAGGACACATCAGCACTAAAGTACGTGTCGACATGTCAGGAGGGGAGATGGGGGTGACACAGAGGGTGACACATGTGCTCAGGCACCACATGCGCTCAGCAACGACACCCATATTCGGGCAGCATATGCACCTCTTCCAGAATGTGAGTGGAGGGCCTCGCAGGCTTTCAGAGTTTTCCTCACCTGCTGCCCCCTTCCTCCCTGATGCATCCCACTCTGCTGTCCTGCCAGCTCGGCCCGTCCAGCTCCCCTCAGTTCACAACCAGTGGGGAACTCCTTCCTGCCCCTCCTTCTGCCGGAGCCACCTCCAGGCACTCACCCTTGGGCGTGTCTTCGCGGGAACAGAATTATAAACATTTGTTTCCGAGCTGGAGGCGGAGGGAGGCGGCAGGCACAGGCGCGGGTGGAGAAGGCTAGCCGGAAGTTGGTTCCAGAATATCGGGGTCTCCCATCTGCCCTGCAGGGCCTCGGGCCTCCACTTGCAGAAAGAGGGAGCAGGGGCATGCCCGGGGAGTCTGTGCCTAGGTCGGTTTTCATGTGTGTGAACACGTACGGGGTGAGTGTGCATCATGCGTGTGTGACAGGACATCATTGTGATCTGTGCCGGCATCCGAGGGGAGGGAAGCCCAGTGGTCTGGAATATGTCAACCCCGTGTTCCGGGGGGCAGCTTGCCGAAAAGCCTCCGCCGCCAGGAACTCAGGCTGTGCTCCAACCCTTTGGCCCTTACCCGTGAGAGGGCTGGGCCAGGTCTCGGGCCGCTCCCAGCCTCGGTTTCCCCATCTGCAACACACTGCTGTAAGAGGTTCTGACTCACTGGGCGAGAGTGAGTAGTGGTCACCTGCACCCATGGGGGTGCGGGGATCTTCCTGCCCCCACTCTCGCCCCAGGCCGGGGTCCGCTCAGCTTGCCTCGCTGCCCTTCCCGGGGAGCCTCTGCACGGCTCCGAGCCCGTCTCCTCTCGGGGCTCCGCGCAGCCCCCGCCCGCGAGGCTGCGGCACGCGCAGCGGCGCGGGACAGCGTCCGCGCCGGGCCCCGCCCACCGCGGGGCGTCGCCGGAAGTCCCGGGAGGCGGCGGCAGCCAATCGGAAGCCAGGCCGGGCAGGGAGCGGGAGTAAATGCCAAACCCTGCGCTCGCACGCACGGCCGGCGCTGAGGACCTCGGTCCCTGGAGCCCCGCAACCGCCGGCGCCGGGAGTTGGCGGGTGCGTCCGGGCCTCGGGGTTGGCTTCCCTCGGTGACCACGTCCCACCAGGGGCCGGCCCGGGCCACCCCTTCCTGTGTGAGGGGGGGCGGGCGGGCACCCCTGCGGCCTCCTCGCCATGGCCACGGCCCGGGGGCGCTTCTGCCGCTGCGCCTGTTTCTGCTCCGAGAACCTGTACGTGGCGCGCTACGGGCTGCACGTGCGCTTCCGGGACGAGCCGCAGCTGCGCGCCGACTTCGGGCCGGTGAGCGCGGCGGGCCGGGCGCGGGGCTGGGGGCTGCGGGCTGCGGGGCTGGGAGCGGGGCTGCGGGACCCATTGCGGGGAGATGCGGGACCGAGCGCGGGGATGCGGGACCCATTGCGGGGCTGCGGGACCGAGCGCAGGGATGCGGGGCCGGGAGCGGGGCTGCGGGACCCATTGCGGGGAGATGCGTGACCGAGCACGGGGATGCGGGACTTAGTGCGGGGATGCGGGATCCAGTGCTGCCCGGCTCGGGGATGCGGGACCCGGTGCGCCTGGGGACGGGGCTGCGGGCTCCGACCGTCATGCCCGCTGGCTTCCCCCCCAGGGAGGCGCCCGGGACGGGAGGAGGAAGGACACATCTTTCAGGGCACGCGCCGCCCTGGCCACCCTCGGCACCGCCGCGTCTGGGCTCTGAGACCCGCAGCGTCCCGCGCCAGGCACACACAGTCGTGATTACTGCCCTTTGTGCTCCCAGATCCTGCGTAGCCGAGGCTGTGTCAGCCCCGAGCACTTCCGGCAGCTGGTAGAAGAGGTAAGAGCCGCCCACCCCACCCTGCGGGCTCCTGCTCTCTAGAGGTGCGTGGGCAGCTCGCCGGGGCTCCCGTTCTCTGCCCACTCAGTTGTGGCCAGTGTCTGCTCCTGCCCTTCTTGGCTGACGGGCCAGGCTTAGACAGGCGCCTCCATCAACCGCTCTGAGATAACACTCTGCCCCACCCCCTTATCATAGGGGAGTGAGATTCCGCCTTTTGACCAGGAGCGGGAAGCTTCCCCGGGGGCGCTCCACACAGAGGGGCTCTCAGCTCTGCCAGCGTCCAGCAAGGCCCCTTGAAGTCCCCTGCAGCTTGTCCTTACCAGGCCCTGGGGTCCCCCTGCCTGCTTCTGCTCTCGCTCCCTGAGCTGCTTTCTCTTCTGGGGGGCTGGGGGGACCACAGTGGGAGGCCCATGCAGAACCGCTGTGACCCCAGCTTGAGCAGGAGGTGCGGCGGCGGCAGCAGCTGGGACAGGAGTCGGCTGCCCGGAAGGCCCTCATCGCCCGCGCATACCACCCTGTGAGGCCCGAGCTCTTCCGTCCACTGCAGGTACCTGGCAGGGCGGGCTGCTGGCAGAGGCTGGGCCCCGCCTGCCCACCTGCCCACCCAGCCCACACCCGTGTGCTCTGGCCCAGGATGAGGCCCTGGCCCCTGAGTTTCTGGCAGCAGCTGAGTACAGCGCATCGCCGGCGGCAGAGCGCCAGGGGCTCCTCCAGCGCCTGGAGACGGTGTCAGGTGAGGCCCTTCCCCGCCGTCAGACCCAAAACAGCAGAAACTAGGAGGGCCAGGAGCAGAGCTGGGATTCAGCCATTGGTCTGCACTCAGGGGTTCCACGCAGCTCCCCAGGGGAGGGGTATGGGCTGGGCTGAGGGTAGCAGTGTGGGGGTCAGCACACCGGCTTCCAGGGTGGGGGACATCAGGGATTCAGGTCCAAGTGTTTCGCTCTCTGCTGGGGGTCTGGGGTGGAATGTGGAGCAACCCCCCACCCCAGCCCAGGGGCTTTCAGCAGTGGAGGTGGGTGGATACTATTGGGTGAGGCAGGGCAGGCCCAGAGGGGGCGGCTGCACCTGCCAGAAGGGCGTGGTCTCCCTCTGGGGGTGGGGGGCACCATCTCTGGCTCCATCAGGACCCACAGCTGAACACGGTGACTGGACGGGCATACTTGCAGGGGGGAGGGGCAGGGCGCCCCAAGCTGGGCCCCTGTGTGCAGGCCCTTTTGAGAGCAGTTTCCCGGACCCGCCTTGTGCAAATGAGGAAACTGAGGTGCGGGTGTGGAAGACCGGCCCGGACGCTTGCTGAGCCCCGCTCCCGCTCACAGAGGAGAAGCGCATCTACCGGCTGCCTGTGTTCACGGCGCGCTTCTGCCAGGCCCTGCTGGACGAACTGGAGCACTTCGAGCGCTCGGAACTGCCCAAGGGGAGACCCAACACGATGAACAACTACGGGGTGGGTGAGGCCTCCGGGGGTGGGGGAGCCTCCCGGAGCTGTGGCCCAGCCCGGCGTTTCTCCCCACTATGAGACTCTGGCCTGATGGCGGGAGGCAGGTGCTCGGTGCAGAGTGCTCGCTCACTGCACTCCTTTCAGGCTGCCTTTGCCCCTGCCCTGCCAGGTGCTGCTGCATGAACTGGGCCTGGATGAGCCCCTGGTGACCCCACTGCGGGAGCGCTTCCTGCAGCCGCTGCTGGCCCTGCTGTACCCTGAGTATGGCGGGGGCCGGCTCGACAGCCACCGGGCCTTCGTGGTCAAGTATGCCCCTGGCCAGGACGTGTCACTGGGCTGTCACTACGATAACGCCGAGCTCACCCTCAATGTGGCCCTGGGCAAGACCTTCTCGGGGGGCGCCTTGTACTTTGGGGATTTCTTCCAGGTCAGTGCTCGTGAGCTGGTGGCGGAGGGGGTCAGGGGCACTGTGAGGGACCAGCCTGACCCCCGCTGCCCACAGAAGCCCTCCGCCCTGGCCAAGCCCATGGAGCTGGAGCACGTGGCGGGCCACGGCGTCCTGCACCGGGGTGGCCAGCTGCACGGCGCCCGGCCCCTGTGCAATGGGGAGCGCTGGAACCTGGTGGTCTGGCTGCGGGCCTCAGCCGTGCGGAACCAGCTGTGCCCCATGTGTCTGCGGCCGCCGGAGCTGGTGGACGACGAGGGCTTCGGTGATGGCTTCACCCGGGAGGGTCCTGCTGAGATGGCCCTGTGCACAATGACCTGAGGGGGCTGGGTACGGCGGGCTGGGTGGGGTGGAAATAAAATCTTTGCGACCCTGAAAAGGCTGCATTGGCTTCTGGTTTTTCGCTTCAGCAGACAGGCCAACTCCGGCAGGTGCAGGAAGTGGAGCTGGAGGTGGGGTCAGGGGCTGTGTCAAGGGACTGGCCACAGGAAGGAGCCTCGGCTGCAGCCAGCCTTGGCCTGACCTCCCGGGAGCCTGGTGTGCAGATGGGCGCTGGTCTGCTCCATGCACCCGGGCGCTGGTGGAGAGCTGGGGGGTGGTGATTCCTGATTGCCACGTCCAGGGCATGCCCAGTGTCCCTGCGGACTCTTCCAGATGGCAGGGTTGAAGCGGCGGGCACTGTTGGGGGTGAGCCTGGCAGGACAGTGGTGGTGGGCACAGCTGGCGCACCTAGAGCTGCTTGGGTCCTCACGCCGGGTTAACAGTGGGGCCCGGGTAGGGTGAAGGGGGTTGGGGTGCAAGCTGGAAAACGCCTCAGCTGGCCCCTCCTCTCGGTCAAGGTCTCCGACTCTAGGGACGCTCTGGGGATGGGAACCGGCCGGCCCTGGAGCGGGGCACGCACCCTGCAGACCCCGAGAGGGACCGGCCGGCCCTCCCCGACCAGGGCAGGTGCGAGTTGGGGAGTTGCCGCTTCGCCCCTCGCTGGCCTCGGCCAGGGTGAGCCCACAGCACGCCCCGGGCCGCTACTGAGGCTGCGTCGGAACCGCGGGCCGCGGCGCCGTTTCCGGCCGGACCCGCGCGGGCGCGCACCGGGCCGGAAGTGGCGGCGGCGGCGGCGGGCGCGGCATCTCGGCAGCCCCCAGCCCCGGCGCGATGACCCCCGGGGGCTCCCGCAGCCGCTCCCGCTCGCGGGGCCGCGCGCCTGCGGGGAGGAGCAGGACGAGGAGCGGGGAGGACCGCGCGCGCGCGCCCGGCTGCTCGGGCTCCCACGGCCGCAGGGGTGAGCGCCGGGAGGAGGGGGAGCGCCGCGGGCCGGGAGGAGGGGGAGCACGGTGGGAGCGATGCTGGGAGCGCTGCGGGACAGGAGGCGGCGGCCAAGGGCCGGGAGGAGGAGCACCGAAGGCCGGGAGGAGGGGGAGCAGGTGGTCCAGGAGAAGGGAGAGCACGGTGGGAGGAGGGGCGCCGAGGACCGGGAGGAGGAGCACGGGCCGGAAGGAGGGTGGGCGCCGCGGGCTGGGAGGAGGCGGCCAAGGGCCGGGAGGAGGTGGCCAAGGGCCAGGAGGAGGGGGAGTGCCGGGGCGGGAGGAGGGTGGGCGCCTGGCCTGAAGGGGTCCAGCACGGGGCCCCACATCCCCCCCTCCCCGCCCCCGCCCGGGCAGACACTGCGTCCCACTGTCTCCCTGCACCCAGACAGAAGCAAGCACAAGGCCCGCAGGAGGCGGCGGTCCAGCTCCTCCTCCTCCTCCACCTCCTCCACCTCCTCCAGCTCCTCCTCGTCCTCCTCCTCATCCTCCTCCAGCCGTGGGCGAAAGAAACGGGGAAAGCACAAGGACAAGAAGAGGAAGAAAAAGAGGAAGAGGAAGAAGAAGTTGAAGAAGGAGAAGGCGAAGGTGCAGGTCGAGGCCCTGCCCGGCCCCTCGCTGGACCAGTGGCACCGCCCCGCCGGGGAGGAGGAGGAAGGCCCAGGTACTACTCTCCCGGGTCCTTCAGCGGGGTGGCCCCATCCCGCCTGCTGGCCCCTGCCATGTCCCCTTGCAGTCCTGACAGATGAGCAGAAGTCGCGCATCCAGGCCATGAAGCCCATGACCAAGGAGGAGTGGGACGCCCGGCAGAGCGTCATCCGCAAGGTGGTGGACCCTGAGACAGGCCGCACCAGGTAAGGGCAGCGGGTGGCTGGGCCGGCGGGGGGTGCCTGTGCAGGGCCCTGGGGGCCCAGCTGCCGCCCCTCGCCTCCTCCAGGCTCATTAAGGGCGACGGTGAGGTCCTGGAGGAGATCGTGACCAAAGAGCGCCACCGGGAGATCAACAAGGTTGGTGTGTCCCCTTCACCCCTGCCCGCCCCTCTGCCGAGGTTGCTGTGACCCCTCGCGTCCTTTCTCCCCAGCAAGCCACCCGAGGAGATGGCCTGGCCTTCCAGATGCGCTCTGGCCTGCTGCCCTGAGGCTGTGGCATGGCTGGTGGCCACCCAGAGCTGGGTCGAAGGGTTGGCCACCCCATGGAGCCCTGAGGGGCTGTTCTCCAGGGACTCTGCTCACCCATCCCCCAAACGCAGGGTCAGTGGCCTGATTGGCAACTCCATCTCCTGAGCGCCCACTTGCCAGACATTAAACAGTCCCTGGTTGGTGGTGTCGGCCGTCGTCTTTTCTTTTGGTGGTGCTCAGGGATCACTCCTGGCAGAGCTTGGGGGACCATGTGGGGTGCAGGGCATGGAACCAGGGTTGGCCGTGTGCAAGGCAAGATCCCTGCCCGCTGTCCTCTTTCCAGCCCTTTGCATTGCTTTCTGTATGTTGGAGGGAAGGGGATTCCCCAACACTGAGGAAACGCGGGTTTCGGCAGTTTGGGGGGATTTGGGGTGTCATCAGACCGCTGTGCCTTTACATCTTCAGGTCACCGGCCCTCCCTCCTCCCCCCCGCTCAGAGACTGTGCTGTCAAGTAGAGGGCTTTGAACTTCAAAACACCAAGTCACCTTAGGTGGCCACTGACAGTGCGGGTGCATATCCCCGCCTGGGGGGGGGCACCGTGAGACACGTTCCAAACTCCCCTCCCCCCCACCGCTGTCGCCAGCGCAGTAACGAGACCCAGAAGGAAGCCTTCCTGCTGCTTTAATTGGTGTAACAGACAGTGACACACGCACACACTCAGGCCCAGTGGCGCAGGGACAGGGAGGGCAGGGTGAGGACAGGCACGCGTGCCCGACGACGGAGAGACAGAGGGAAAGACGGAGACGTGAAGACAGCGACAGGGTGGCAGGCAGCTCAGACTGAGCTGGGCGCGGGGCGGGGGGTCTCTGCTGAGTCCCTCTTCAGAAACCAGAGGGCCGGGGCCGGGGCGCAGGGCGGGGGGACTAAGGCTTCTACTCGCACGGGCCTGGGGCGGGGTGGCAGTCTCGGGCCTGCTCACCCTTTGGTTAGGCTGGTCAGGCCTGAGCCCTGCAGCTCAGCACCCAACACTGTAAACATTTTTGGTATTTTTAAGGAACTCTGCCCTCCCTCTGTGTTTCTGGAGAAGAATGTGCCCGCAGGGGTCTGAGTGAGGCAGAAGCAGATCTGAATCGAGGGCACGGCGGGAGGGACTGCCCATGTCACCACCTATGGCTGCGGGCCCCAGAAGGGCCCAGGGACTATTGCTTTGTCCTTGGCATGGCTGGCGCTGGGCAGGCGGGCGGGGGCTGGGCCCGCACCCCATGGCCTTTATTGCAGGCACGCTCCCGATGGCTGCTCCTGGGGTGGAGGCAGGGGCGAGGCACTGCCGCGGGACCCCTGGAGCGTGAGTGTCTGGCCCAGCGGGTCCTGCCAGGCCAGGGTCAGCTATTGCACTTTCACGGCAACTGTCACGTTAAATCTTGGTCCATAAAATAATGGTCGCTTTATACATAACATCCCCAACAATGAAAAGCTACATCTTAAATATGAATAAACCCTGAAGGTTCCATCCCTCCAGACATTTCTCTCTGCACAAAATAAATAGCTTTCACTCTGTAGAGCCCCGCTTTGCAGGACATGTACACGCCCCATCTGGCTATACATATCTACACACGGAGACGGGTGCCCACTTCTCCACGTGGGGCCTGGGTGCTGGTGCCAAGACCTGGCGCCCCGTCCCCGCCTTGGAGAAGGTAGGAGTGGCGGCAGAGGGGTGCTCTGGGGCGGGCGCGCCTGGCCGCCTGCCCATGAGCTTACAAAGCGAGCTGTGGCTTCTTAGACTCAGCGTCAAAATGGAATTGGCATTTAAAAAAAAAAAAAAGACAAAAAACCACCCCGAGTGTGTCCCACCCATCCCAGAGTAGAAATTGGGTGAAAATCATGGGTGTTGGGTGAGGCAGGGAGCCCGTGACCCCTGCACGGGCAGAGGGCGGGACCCGGGGACCCAGGGCCAGGCCGGACTCCATCACAGTGCTGGACGTGTCACGGGGAGGGGCTGCACTTGGAACTGAGTTAAGAAAAAGAAGCAGCCAAGGATCAAGGATCGCTCATTTAAAAAAACCCGCATAGAAATCAGATCCGAGAAGTAGAAAGGTGTAGAAACGCGGGGGAGGGGCGCGGAGGCTGGGACTGGACTGGGGCAGGCGAGGAGCAGGACCCGGCTGGGCCCCCTGGCCCCCAGCAGCCTCCCCACCTGGGCTGTGCCGGGGGCTTGGCTGGGGCCAGGTGGCTGGGACGCTGCAGAGCTGGAGCTCGGGCTTTGCCCCCCCACTGCCCATGGCTCTGCTGTCCGGGCCCTTCCAGGTGGCAGTAGGTCCTGGGTGGGCAAGGTTGACTTTTCATGCACGTCCACGTGCCCATAGACAGAAGATGGTTGTGGGTCTCTGTCCAGCGTCAGTGCAGACCATTGAGGTCCAACAGTTGAGTGACTCGTGCTAACAGAAGCAGGCAGGACCCCGGTCAGAGGCGCGGCCGAGTGGGAGGGGGTCAGGGTGGACAGTGCGTCGGGAGGGGGCAGGCTGGGCCCAGGCCAGTGTGAGGCACCTGTCCAGGGTGTCTTCCCGACGGGGCAGCCCCTCCATCATCCTGAGTGGCTTGTCCCGTCAGCCTTCGTGACCGCTGGAACCTCTGGTCCCAAGGACGCAGGGTGAGGCTGGGAGGGCTGTCGGCGGCACGTCCCAAGTCCTCCGTGGGGGCCCCGGACAAGCGTGTCCCCAGCCGACCGTGTGCGCAGGCCGGGCCGCCGGGCGGGGCTGGCTGCCCTGGCCTAGCACCATGGAGACCACAGCGCTCCCGACGGGCGCCTACTTGGGGCTGGCGGCGGTCCCGGGCTCCGGCCTGCCCGCTGCGTTGCGGCCCCAGCAGCCGGCGGCCATGCTCATGCTGCGCTGGCCCCTCTGCTCGCCGTCCGCCTGGCTCTGCGGCCGCTCGTGCCGGGCTCCGGGCCCGCTGGGCTGCGCCGAGATGGTGCGGAGCAGGTGGTTCCGGGAGCGCAGGAAGTCGCCCTGGCCGGGCAGGCCGAAGCTGCCCTTGCGCAGCGCCATGCGCGTGGCCGTGTTGCGCGCCGGCCGCGCCCGGTGGTTGTACTTGAGCTGGGCCAGATGCGCCGCGTAGCCGTCGGTGATGAACTGCCGGGGGATGGCCGGAGATGAGCGGGGCGCGGCCACGGCTGCGGCCCTCGCGGGGGCCCCCGGCGCCGTCCCCATCTGCCCACTCACCTGGCACTGCTGCTGCAGCTTCTTGGTGGGCCGGCCCACGATGTAGATCTGCATGGGGGACAGGCTGATGGAGCTGTAGACCGCCACGTCCTTGGTGGACCCGTAGGCCGCGTGCACGCGCAGGTGCAGCTGCGGGGGAGCCAGAGGCGGGTGAGGACCCGCCCCGCCCCAGCCCGCCCGGGGCTCCGCCCCCAGGGCGCCCTGCCCTATCCACAGCCCAGCGCCATGCATAGCCACGCCCCCGGATCCCGGCCCCACCCACAGCCCCGCCCCATGTGCCCCGCCATGCATGGCCACGCCCCCTGCACCCTGCTGTCCACAGTCCGGCCCCATCCCCTCGCCATGCCCCCGCCCGCCCGTGGCCCCGCCCCCAGGGCGCCCTGCCCTATCCACAGCCCCGCCCCATGCAGGCCACGCCCCCTGTACCCTGCCCTATCCACAGCTCCCACCTGCCCGGTCAGTCCCCTTGCCGCCCTGCTCCAGCCACAGCTCGGCTGCATACTGGATATGCCCCTACCCCGCCCCACCCCACCCAAGGCCATGCCCCACATACCCTGCCTTATCCCAGCCCCGCCCCAAACCCATACAGGCCACTCCCTCTGGCCACGCCCCACCTCCGAGATGAGCAGCTTCAGGAAGTTGGCCTTGTGCCGCAGCGGGTCATGGACCAGGCCGTCGCAGAAGGACACCACGCCATGGGGGAAGTTGTGCTGTGCCAGCCACGCCACCACCCGCTGCTTCTGCATGTCGGGCCGGCCCGTCACGTAGATGATGAGGTAGCCCAGGTCCTGCCAGTGCCTGGGGCAGGAGCAGGCCTGTGTGTCCAGCTGCCCTCCTCCCCATCGCTGTCGGGTCAGTGTCCCCTTGGACCAACGCCCCGCAGTCACCACGGGGCCGGCTCTGTCCCGCGCTCACGTCCTGGGCAGGTGCTCGCAGGCTGCCTCACCAACCAGAGCCCAACCTGGTGCCCAGGCCACCGGGGGCTGGTGGCGGCCCCTCACACCAGGGAGTCCCTGGGCAGCACCCCCGCCACTCACCGCACCACGTCCACAGCCCCGGCCCGCACTTTGGGGTCGCTGCCCATGATGGACACGCTGGCGGCAAAGGAACCATCGATGCTGAAGACCACAAATTCTGTGCCCTTTGGCAGCACCGTGATGTAGCTGTCCGCGAAGGTGTGGTCGCCCCTGCGGGGCAGCGCCTCAGCATTCACGCCTGCTGGTCGGCACCCACTCCTGCACCCGCGCCCCCTGGCACCCCGCCCCGCACTCCTGCATCCGCGACCACGCCTGCCCCCCCAGGGCTCCCCTGCCCAGACCCTACCTGACCACCATTTTGATGGGGTAGACGCCCACGCCCAGGCGCTGCGCCTCGGGGATGGTGTAGGAGACGCGGCCACTGCTGCTGGTCACCAGCGTGTCCAAGTACAGCCACTCCCCCGAGGGCGGCTGCAGCATGATGTGCACATCCACCTGCCGGCCCAGGCCCAGTGAGCAGTGCCCTTCGCCCCAGCCACAGGGGGCCCCCTGCCCCCAGCCTCACCTTCTCCCCAGTCAGCGTGACCATATCCAGGGGCCCATACATGAAGCGGCCGGTCAGCACCTGTGGGCCGTCCTCATTGGCCAGCGCGTCATTGACCCGATGGTTGGCTGCCACATTCTGGGGGAACAGGCTGGTTGGGGCTCGGTGGCGCCAGGCTCTACCCCGATGGGAGCAGGAGTCCAGCACGGCCACGGGCCCCGGAGGCAGGCTGTCCCTTGGGCCTGGGCTCACCCGCAGCTTCACGTGGGTCCGCCGGCGCTGCCACTTCTCCCTGGGCTTGGAGGGCGTGAACACTGACACCTCCTTGCCATCGAGCTCCAGGATGCTGGAATTGTCATGACGCATGACCTAGGGGGGAAAGGGATGGGGGGGCTTCTCAGCCTGGGGCCCTGCCCGACACCAGTAGCCCCAGAATCCGGAGGAGTAACCCTAAGGGTCGGGTGGGGGGGAACACCAGCCCACCCCAGTTCACATCTGTCCTGCGGGTGTGCTGGCCCGGTGGCCCATATCAATGCCCAGGGCTGGCCCTGTCCCCGAAGGCCCAGGCACCTGTCTCAGCAGGAAGGAGACCACATCCGTGGACTCCCAGTAGCTGGCGTGGAAAAGGTGGGGCAGGGCCACAGTGGGGAAGGCCATCAGGGCGTCCGGGCAGTAGAGGGCGTAGTCGAGGCGCTTCTGGCCCCACCACCTGGCTGCGACTGCAGGGGAGGAGGAAGGAGGGCCGGAGGTCACCTGGCAGAGGCCACATGGACCACGCCTGGCCAGCCCCCAGCTCTGTGGAGTGACCCCACCTGGCTTCCTCCTGGGATGTCTGAGAACCGCACCCCTCCCCCGGTCCCCTGGTTAGGCCTCAGCAGAGGCCGGTGGGCAGGGGGTTGCCTGGGAAGTGAGGAACCAGTCAGAGGGGGGTGTATGGACAGGGGACAGGTCCTCGTGACGTCCAAGCAGGGGAGGCTCCTGGCCTGCAGGGATGGGGCCGAGGGGGCCTGATGCGGGGAGAAGTGTGGCTCTGGGGCCCCGAGGAGGCAGGAGCCACAGGGAGGCCGGGCCTCACTGCCCAGAGCCCGGGAATGACAGCGAGACTGACCCTACCCCCCACCCCTGTCTCGTCCCACAGGTGCTACCGGCCGCCTGGGCACGCACTCTGGGCGATGCTGGATGCCGTGTAGCTCTCGGCCATGCCCGACACCTGGCTGGCAATGCTGATCTCGCTGGCCCGGCGGAAGCCACGGGGGACGGGGGGCGCCCCGGGCGAGGAGGGGGCCGCATGCTCCTGGAAGACTGTGTTGTGGGTCTGGAGTGCGTCCGCTGCAAGGACAGGGACAGAGAATCTGGGTCAGAACCTGGGCTGTCCCCCACCCAGCAGGAGGAGGGTGGGCCTGTGTGCAGGAAATAAGGCTTCGGGGCCAGGCGGCAGCCCAGACAAACACAGACGCAGACAAGGGGGGGAAGCAAGGCACAGGCCCGGCCCCCCACTCTTCCTGCCTGGGGAACGTAGCCTGCTGGGTCCCATGGAGTACAGAGGGGCTGCTTCTGCTGGGGCTGGGTGGAGGCCCCCAAGGTGACGGGAGACGCCCCAGATGGCATTTCAGGGTGCCTAGATATACTCAGTGAGCACAGGCTGATGCCCAGGTTTCCTTGGCAGGCTTGAGGTCTCACCTCATCCCTTGTCACCCCTGCAACCTGACAAACTGGGACGGTCCCCTCCCAACTCTGTCCCAGGGTACGGAAGGCACTAGAACACGCCTGGGGACAGGTCCGTGCCCCCACGGCCCCCAGACCCGGGGACGGGGGTTGTCCCAGAGAAACGGACAGAACACACGTGGGGGAGGGGCGTTACACACACTCCACGCCGCCCGGGCCGGGCCGGGGCGCAGGGACAGGGATGCTGGTCTCCAGGAAGCCGTCCCCGGATGGGGCCGGGCCAGGGGGTCCCTCCAGGACCAGCTGCGGGTGTCTCTGCACGGTCTCCACTGGAACAGACGAGGAGAGAACAGGGGACAAGAACAAGACACTCACGCCGCAGGACGAGACGAGACGGACACACGTGGCCAGAGCCCACGGGGTGCCCCCCCACCTGCCCAGGGAGGGGCTCACCCAGCAGCGCAGAGCAGCCGTCCCCCAGCGGGTAGCGTTGGTAGCGAGGGACGCTGAAGGGCGCTAGGGCGTGGAAGCGACGCTCCAGCAGGGGCTCCAGGCGCGAGGCCGAGGGGTCGGCGGGGTGGAAGAGGTTGTACACTTGCTGGCAGGCGGGCCGCAGCTGGAAAACTGAGGGGCCCCAGAGGATGGTCTGGAGCAGCCCAGTCTGGGGAGAGCCCGGGAGTGGCTGTGGGGGCAGGGCGGGCCCGGGCTATCGGGTGCCCACTTTCTGGATGGGAGTGAGGACGGACAGTGTGAGCATGGACCCCCGGGCCCACCACCCACCTACCCACAGGGAGGGGTGTTGGGCCACATCCAGCAGAGTCCTGGGCACTACACGGTTTGCCAGGGGGCCTGTGCCAGCTACCCACCATTGGTCTCTGTCTGGGATTTTTTTTTCTTTTTGGGTCACACCCAGCAATGCACAATGGTTACTCCTGGCTCTGCACTCAGGAATTACTCCTGGCAGTGCTCGGAGGACCCTATTGGATGCCGGGAATTGAACCCAGGTCGACTGCATGCAAGACAAACATCCTACCCGCTGTGCTATCACTCCAGCCCCTCTGTCTGGGTTTTTGCTTTGGAGTTCGGTGACGTGGTTTTAATGGTATGAAGGATTCTAGTTCTGTCGCATTATTGCATCTTTCAGTGTCTTTTAATGGAGAAGCTCTAATGCTGGTAGTAAATGTTTCCAGCGGAGAGCAGCAGTCTAGCAGATAGGCTTGTCGGCCCCTGGCACGGCTATGCCCCTGGCAGGCTGGAGACACAGGTGCGGCCAGCCATCCCCGGTGAAGCCCCCTAGGGCCGGCTTGGGCTCTGGCTGCTGCTCTAACACCCTCTGTGGCATGTGCAAAACCCTCCTGGCTCACACCCTTCCTCCACCGTGCTCCCGACTCAGAGCCCGTCACTCCTGCTGGTGCTTAGGGGACCAGGCGGGCAGGGCCAAAGTGGCTTCCTGCATGCAAAGCCTCGGGCTCTCACTGCCCTCGCTGGATTTGTGTGTGTGTGTGTGTGTGTGTGTGTGTGTGTGTGTGTGTTTTATGATCAGAGTTTAACATCTCACTCGCCCCACGTCTGGGGTCTCTGCTCTTCTCTCTGCACAGTGAGCACTGGCTGAGTGGGGCCAGCAGTTCCCCCCCGCTGCCAGGCTCCCCTTGCCCTGTTTGTGGTGGCTGGGGGACGACTCCTGGAGCCGCAGGGCTGAGGCCCCCCCCCCCCACCGAGTCCAGCGCCCTCCTTATGGGGAGATGCTGGGTGCAGCGCTGGGCTGTCCTGCCTCAGCTCTGGGGTGCTCTGGGTGCCATTACCAGCAGGTGGGTGGGGGTGGGTGGGTGGTGCAGGAAGGGCCCGAGGCTGTCCCAGCTGCCCCCGGAAGAGCCCTCACCATCTAGGGCGGGGATGACGGTTTTCCTCAAGGCCAAGACCAGCCCCAGCGGACACCCGAAGAGGAAGAGGTCGGCAATCTCGAAGTCAAACTTGCTCGGGGTGCCGGCGCCGTCCAGCATGGTGGAGCTGCTCGAGCGGCGAGCGCCCGACTCCTTCCTCAGCACCCCTGTGTGGAGGCTGCGGGGGAGGGGGAGAGCTCACAGCCCGCCCCGAGGGCCGGCCCTTCCCTGGCTTCCTGAGCGAGGTCTAACCTGGTTCCATTCTTTCTTTCTTTCTTTTTTTTTTTTTAAGCAGAGCCCGCGTGTAGGCAAGAGACATCCTCCTACTACAGACTCTGCTGCTTCTCTGTAGCTCACACCTGGGAACACTACATTTTTTTTTTTTGCTTTTTGGGTCACACCTGGCGAAGCACAGGGGTTACTCCTGGCTCATGCACTCAGGAATTATTCCTGGCGGTGCTCAGGGGACCATATGGGATGCTGGGAATCGAACCCGGGTTGGCCGCGTGCAAGGCAAACACCCCACCCGCCGTGCTATCACTCCAGCCCCTATTTCATTTTTTATCTTTCAGTTTTGGGGCCACATCCAGAGGTGCTCAGGGCTTACTCCTGGTGGTGCTTGGGGGACCCTGTGGGGTGCCGACTCTAACTAGGTGACGGGAGCACGCAAGGCCAGTGCGTGTGGCTACACTATCTCTCTGGCCACCGCACCCCGCGTGGTCCTAGGGTGCACCTGGCTCGCTATGGGAGGGTCCCTTCTGACGGAGACTGTCCCAACACCTCTGACCACCCTGACAGCCTCTCCGGCTCCCCAGGCCAGGACAGCCTGGCCCCTCACGCACAGATGGCCCTTGGTGTGCAAGGGACAGCAGGGTCACCCCAGAGCCATTCTCTGGTAAATGAGCCCCAGCGCCCGGCCACCCGGGCCCGACTCTCTGTGGCTGCCCACCTGGATAGGAAAGCCTGGTGCTGCTGGATGGTGTCCAGCTCGTATGTGGACGAGTCACTTCTCTTGCGGGGCAGCTGCCTTTTGGGGTCCTCGGGGCCGCTGCTGTGAGGGATGTCGACGTTGCTTCGGCTCAGGTGCCGGCTGCCCTCCAGGCTGTTGCCGCTGGAGCAGCCCGGGGCCAGCAGGTCCGTGTCCTGGAATGACCCATGCGGCTCACTGCCCCAGTGCCGGAAGCTGGGGCCCAACCGGGCAGCCTGTGCTCCTGACCTCGACGGGCTGCATCTTGGTCCAGCCCCAGCTCTGCCTGCAGCAGAGAGCATGAACTCCCCGCCTCCACCTGCCCCAGGCTCCTGGGCGCTGATCCGCCCCAGGCTGCCAGTCAGTGCCTGCAACCTGTGCCCACTCCCTCTCCTATTTTTTGGTAGACTTTTGGGCCACACCTGACTCTGCTTAGGGGGACCTTGTCGGGTGCCCAGGAGCAAACTATGGCATGCAAAGCCTCCAAGTTGTATTAGGTCTCCATACAGCTCGGCCTGTTGCTGCGGCCCAAGTCTGCAGCAGTCCACTGCAGGGAGAGCAGCTGTGGTCTGGGCTGAGTGGGCGTGGTCAGGGCTGGGGGTGTGGTCTGGACTGGGGGAGTGATGGGACTGAGTGGGGCACGGTCTTGGTGGGGCGGGGTCTGGGCGGGGGTGTGGTCTGGTTTGGGGGCGTGGTCAGGCTCTGAGCAGGGCGTGGTCTGGTCTGGGGGCGTGGTCGGTACCTGCACACTGGCCACGCTGGCCACACTGCCGCGGCGGCTGCTGCCCTGGCTCTCACACAATGGCTGGTTGCTGTGGCACAAGGCGTCAAATGCCAGGACGCCGCCCACGCAGTCCCCGATCAGGCAGACCTGGGAGGGCAGAAGCGCGAGGCCTGAGCGACCACCCCTTGCCAGCGGGGTCCACGGTGTTCCCCCGCCCCTGCACAACGCACCTGCCCACTGAATGCGGCGCCCTCCTGGGACTTGATGAAGTCCCCGTAGGCCAGGTTGGCCCGCTGGATCACCGTGGCCACGGCGTCCTGGTACTGGGGTGCAGAGGTGGCCAGCAGGGGCAGCGCTGCCAGGGGGATGTGGTCCTGGCTGCTGGACAGGCAGCCTTCGTCGTGGCTGTAGGGGCTGAGGCTGGGGAGGGGCCGGGCATCAGGGGCTGGCCTACAACCCGTAACCTCCGTGGGCCCCCACTCTGGTTCTGCCACCTCAGGACAGGGGCCTGAATGTCTGAAGGGGGGTCCCAGTGTGGGGCCAGGGTCACTTACTTGGAAACGAGAGCAAAGGCGTCGGAGCAGACGGGTGGGCAGGGCACCAGGCGGATGGCAAGGCGGCCCAGGGCGCTGGGGTAATGGACCCGCACTACGGAGTCGAAGACGGTGGCCATGGTGTTGGCATCGCCCTGCTTGGAGCTGGGGTCCCCGGCGCCCGTGTCCAGGAGCGTGCCCCCATGAAGCACCAGCAGCAGCACGTGGATCTTGGAGGGCGTGGCCACTAGTGGGGGGCTGGCCTCATCCTGTGCGGGTGGGGACGACTGTCAGCGCCCTGAGACTCAGCCCTCGCCCAGGCCCCATCACCCGCGGGAGGCCTGTCTCGACTGGGGGCTCGTTCCCTCCCGGGATGCCAGGGCAGGCCTTGCTCTCCCGAAGCCAGGCAGTCCTGGGTCAAGCAGGGGTGGAGTGGGGGGGAGGGGCAGGGCTGCCGCAGCTCCCTCTGTGAACCCCCTGCCCGCTGGGCCCCTTGCTGCCCTGTGAACCCCCTGGTGCGTCGTCCAGTCCGGCCACCCTTGGGCTCTCCCGATCTCTAGGGCCCTGCCAGCAGGAGTTCCTCAGACAGGCGGGGGTACGGATGGGTCTGACCCCGCCAAGTGGAGGCAGGCACAGTGGGCAGAGCGAGGTGGTGGCCCAGGACACACCCCTCACACCTGCTGCCAGCACCCCAGCGCCCCGAGTGCCGCCCCTCTGATTCTGGTGGGCAGAGGACTGAAGACGAGGGGGGGGGGGAGGTGGGAAGATGGTCTGAGGGGCTCAAGCCTATCGGGGGTCCATGCGGGGAGGCTGGCCATGGGTTACGTGGATGACATGGAAGGCAGTCAGTGGCAGGACCCCCAGGGTCCAGGCAGAGGCTGGAGAGGGGGTCCTGGGGGCTCTTGCAAGGCCACTTTGCAAGGCAGGCTGGTAAGTGTGGCTGAAGGCGGCTGAGGGAATCCACTGACTGGCCACGGGCTCCTGGGTTTGGGCAGAGCTCGGGGGTCTTACCACCAGCTCCACACCCAGGAGAGCCAGTGACCAGCGTCAGCTTCCCAGTACCGTCACAGGGACAGACGGGGCCTACGGGGGCTGCTGGGCCCCCGCGTGGGTCTGTCCATGGGAAGCCAGACTTCTGGGGAACCCTGGGACCCCTGCTGCCTTCCCACCAGGACTCCAGGCTGAGTCGGGTCAGGGGGCGAGCGAGCTTGTGGGGCAGGGCCAGGGCCCGGGGCATCAGAGGGCATCGGGACAGGCGGGGTCTCAGCCCCCGGGGCCTGCCCCCTCCCCGATCCAGGGCCGGTCCCCCGTCTGTCAGCCGCCAGAGATGAGCGCCCGTGTCCCTGTCAGCCTGTCTCTGGGCGGGCTCGCAGGGGGCTTGAGCCCCCCTGACATGCCTGAGCTGTCCCCCCACCAACGGCCCTGACCGGGGGTGTGAGCTCCAGGAAGGAAGCCCCTGGGACCAGGCACTGAACAGGTTTTATTGGCTCGGAGCCGCCGCGGGGCTCACTTCGGCCTGGGCGCGGGGCGGGCCCTCCCCTTCCGGCTCACACTCTTCAGGCACCGCAGGCAGGTCGGGCCCAGGGCGAACGTCCTAGTTCTGATCTGGAATTTACAAGTTGATTCTTTTACTTCCTGCATCTGGAGCCGGGTCGGGGCTTCCTGGGGGACCTGGGGGGTGCGGCTTCCTGTGGGTCCTCAGGGACCTGGTGTGGTGCGCAGGACGGAGGCCCCGCCGGGTGGGACAGTCTGCGGGCAAGGCCTGTGCCCTCCCGTCTGTGCCCGCCCCACACCCACCTCCATGATGTTCAGCTGCTCCACGCTGGAGAGGACCCGGTACTCGGGGCTGCTCTGGCAAAACAGGCCGTCTGCGGGATGGGGGGCGTGAGAGGCGGGGCATCGTCTAGGTGCTCACACTCCCGTGCTGGCACCCTGTCCTCTCACACACACTCACACTCACACACACACACTCACACACTCTTCTCATACACACTCCTCTCTCACACACACACTCCTCTCAGACCCACTCACACTCCTTTCACACACACTCCTGTTTTCTCTCTCACACACATACACTCCTGTTCTCTCTCACACATTCACACACTTTCTCACACGCTCACACATACTCACACTCCTCTCACACACACTCATACTCCTGTTCTCTCACACACACTCTCACAAACACTCCTGCCCTCTCACACATACTCACACACATGCCCCTGCCTCTCACACACACACCTGTTCTCACACACTCACACACACTCCTGCCCTCTCACATATACTCACACACACACTCCTGCCCTCTCTCACACACTCTCACACATACACCTCTACCCTCTCTCTCACACACACATGCCTGTTCTCTCACACTCACACACTCCTTTCCTTTCTCTCACACACACACTCCTGTTCTCTCTCTTACACACACTCATTCACAAACACATAAACTCACACTCCTGCTCTTACATTCACACTCACACACACACTTTCCTATTCTTTCTCTTACACACACACTCAGATATACTTGTGTTCGCACATATACAATCACATACACACACCCACACTCACACACACCCCCTCCCAGAGCCAGGTACCCTGTGTGGTCTCGGGCTCGGGGCCTTCGATTTTGTCCATGAGGTCATTGGAGTCCCACTTGCTGATGTCCTTGGGGTACAGCTCCTCGGGGTCGGACAGGTCCTCTGTGGGGGAGAGAGTGCTCAGCACCCCTGCGGGGTGGGTCAGGAGCCTGGACCCAACACGTCCACCTTTGCTCACCCTACGGGAGAGTCAGAGCATCCTCCTTCTCGAATGTTCCCTTCTCCTCCTGCCCTGGCTGTGTCCCCTGAGGGGTGTGGGATGGTGTCTCCTCCCCCAGGCCCCTGTCTGCACCCCTTCCTGTGTCTGCCGGGCCGCGCGATCCTGGACAGCAGCAGGATGGTGGGGTCTGCTCCTCCCGCCTGGGGCAGGCCTGGCTCCCTGCACCCTGTTCCTAAGGTCCTCATGGAGCCATGGGGGGTTACCTAGACCCCAGAGGGGACCTCAGAACACAGGAGACACAGAAACCCCCGTTACCGGTCCTGCTGGGAACTGGGCGCCTCCCTTCCACCTGGCCACTGGGCACTCAGGCCTCCTGCCTTGCAGGCAGCCTGTGCGCAGACTCTGTGCAGACCAGCACTGCCGGGGCCTGTGGGCAGAGGGGCTGCCCCTCCCCAGCACATTCTGCTGTGGGCTCTGCCTGGTGGGTGGGGCCTCAGGCTCAGGCACGTGTCTTTGGTCCAGGATTGGGGGGAAACAGGCTCACTGGCATTTTCTAGAACAGCTATGTCAGAGGGTAGTTAAGAAAAATCCCCCCAAATCAAAATCAGAGGGTTTTTTGGCTGGAGGACAGTGCCCGCCTGGGGTAAGGCACTTGCCTTGCACGCGGCCCGCCAGGGTTCGACCCCCGGCACCCCATATGGTCTCCTGAGCCCAGCCAGGAGCGACTCCTGAGTGCAGAGCCAGGAGTCAGCCTTGAGCACGCTGGGTGTGGCCCCCAAACCAAACAAACTACAAAAAGATGGTTTGGCAAAACTCGAAAATGCCCAAAGTTGGGTTTTTGTAAAGCTCCTTACCCGGCGCTGTTCTGGGCGGGGGTCCAGGCCTCACCCCTGGGCCGGCTGTATACCTGTAGGCGGGTGGGGCTGAGCCCCCAGACAGAATGGAGGGGTCCCACCCCTTCCCCGGCCCTGCGACCCCCAGGCTGACCCCTGGCCCCGTGATGCCGCCCGCCGCCTACCGTGCGCGTCGAAGAACTCCTCCTCTGAGCTCTCGTCCGAGTCCCGGGCAATGCTCTGCATCCGCCACTCCGAGAGGCTGTGGCGGGAAGGGCTGGCTGGAAGGCAAGGCCAGGCTGAGTCTGACACGCTCCTCCGGGCAGAGGCGGAGGGCAAGGGGGGTAAGCCAGGCAGAAGCTTCCAGAACCTTCAGGACGCTGCGGTGTGTGCGGGGACAGTCACAGGGCCTGGCTGTGCTGAAATGGGCGCGTGAGTCCCACCGAGGCCCAGGAGGTTAGGGTGAGTGGGAGAAGGCTTGGGCCCCCGGGAGAGGGGAGGCGGCTGTGTGGGGAGAGCCTTCCTGGCGGGGGTGCAGACGCAGGGCTCGGAGGCGGTGGGAGGGCGGGGCACTCACCTCCCCGCTTGGATGAGCGTGAGGACTTGGAGGACGTGGACCACTGCTTCTTGAGGCCGCGGCCGGCCAGGGGCTCCCCGCTGCTGCTGCTGCTGGGCTGGGGAGACTCCCGGGCCGCCCGGTCGGGGGCCGCCGTGGCCAGCTCCAGGGGCGCCGCCTCGTCGTCCTGGTCCTGGGTGAACTGGGCCATCTTCCGGGAGAGCATGAGCTGCGCCTCCTTCTCCAGCTCGCGGATGTTCTCCATGCTCAGCCCGAACCACTCGTCCTGCCAGCACCAGGCCTGCCTGTGGGCGCGCACCATCACCTTCCGCAGGCCTGCGGGGGGCGGGGGGGAGGCGCCATCAGCCCCACCGAGGCCTCCATGTAGCCACACTCACAGCAGGGGTTGAGGGAGGGCAGGCGCCACACCCACCACAGCCCACACCCAGCTGTGGGTGCTGCCGGGATCAAACGCACCAGCCCAGCAGCGTCCCCAAGGCCTGAGCTCTGTGTGGCCGACAGGGGACAGCGACGGGGGGATAAGACACTGTTTGGGGGAGGCGGAGCAGGTGCCCCACCAGGAGGACTTGGGCACCAGAGATAAAACTGGGGGGCCGAAGTGAGAGCACAGTGGGGAAGGCGTTTGTCTTGCACGCGGCCAACCCGGGTTTGATCCTTGGCATCCCATAGGGCTCCCCGAGCACTGCTGGGTGTGGCCCCAAAACCGAAGAAAGAAAGAAAAATGACTCCCCCCAAAAGCATGAAGATGAAAAGGGGGCCTCCCATCCCCAGGACCCAGCAAGAAGGCCCATGGCTTGTGCCCAGCTCATTCCGGGGGTTCCCTAGTCTGCAGCATCTCTGTGGCTCATTGGTTGCTGCCTGTAACGTGTCCAGGGTCCCTCCGCTAGCTGGGGCCACTGGCCTCGCCGGGGACTCTGACTCCTTTTGCTGCTACAGGTCCCCAGTGGATGACGTCTCCCTGCCCACGAAGGTGCCCGCTGTTCCCATGGACGCTCCCTGCCTGCCTGCTGGAGCAGAAATGCTGGTCCAGGACCAAGAGGGTCAGTGGTCAGGGCTGAGACCTGCATCGGGTCTCTGCCTTCCCTTACACCCAGTCGGGGTCACAGGAAGCTGGGGGTCAGAGGGGGAGAACCCAGGGTCAGCTGGGCAGCACCCGCCATTTCCCCGGCACCCCGCCCTAGGCGAGGCTGGCACAAGGGCCAGGACGCCAGGCTATCCCGGCTGCAAGCCCCGCGGGATGGGCGTCCGCGGGCGGGCGGCCGCGCTCACCCGTGTCGTGGATGAACCTCTCGATCTTGGACTGCATGCCCCAGTAGCGGAACTCCACCTTGCACAGCTTGTAGGCGCACATGAGGGGCAGCAGCCGCCGCTGGCACTCCTCGATCCAGTTGTCGGGCAGCGGCCCCCGCTGCGTCTTCAGCGAGTGGAACAGTTTGGGGTCCTCGTCCATCTTGTACTCGCCAGGGGACACAGGGTCCTTGACGATGTCGATCAAGTCTGTGGTGGGAAGCACAGTGATTGCCACCTCCACCCTGTCTTCAGGGGCTGCCCGAGCCCCCCTCCCAGTCTTCACTGTGAACCCCTGGAGGGGGGCGCCTGGCCACTTGCCGCTGGGCAGATCACGGGGGGCAGTGAGGAAGCCCCCGGGGCCCGGGCTGGGCAGCTCCCCAGAGAAGCCGCTTCGGCAGTGCCAGCCAGAGAACTGTGAGCCGGAGAAGCAGGGTGGGGGCGCCCCGGGCCTGGGGGTCTACCTGCACACGTGAGGGCGTAGGGGACACAGGCGGGGCTGGTGTTCTCACCCACAGCCCCTGCACGCCTCACACACCCCCCGCGATCCTTCTCTGGATAAGGGGGCTTGCAGCATGGGGGGGTCCCGGCTGCCTCCCCCCTGCCCCCGTGGCCAGCACCAGCCTGGCAGGGGCACCGGGCAGGGCCTCACCGATGGTCAGCTGGCTCTTCTCCACGGGAGACAGGCTGAACACGTCAGGATTTTCTCCGGCATCGCTTTTGTAGAAGGTCTCAATGTCGATGGAGAATTTCTCCACAAAGGGACAAGTGAACCTGCAGGGTCGGCCCGTCGGGTCAGGCGCCAGAGGGCTCTGGGGGCCCGCTGCCCCTCCCCCCCGGGAGAGCAAGGCGAGAGGGGTCAAGAGGGGTCCCTGCAAGGAGACAGGGCCGGCAGGGGAGCACACGTGCCACTCAGCTGCTGCCTCGAAGGTGCCCTGCCTGGCCGTGTGTGTGTGTGTGTGTGTGTGTGTATGTGTATGTGTGTATGTGTATTTGTATGTATATTTGTGTATATGTGTGTATATGTGTGTTTGTGTATGTGTATATGTATGTTTGTGTATATGTATGTGTGTTTTTGTGTATCTGTGTGTTTGTATGTATGTGTGTATATATGTGTTTGTGCGTATGTATGTATATGTGTGTATATGCATGAGTATGTGTGTATGTGTATGTCTATTTGTGTATGTATGTATGTGTTTGTGTATGTGTGTATGTGTTTGTGTGTACATGTGTGTATGTGAATATACGCTGTATGTGTGTGTTTGTGTATGTTGTTTGTGTGTATGTGACTGTATGTTGTGTGTATGTGTGTATGTGAGTATATGCTGTATGTTATGTGTTTGTGTGTGTTTGTGTGTGTTTGTGTGTATGTGATTGTATGTTGTGTGTATGTGTGTATGTAAGCATATGCTGTATGTGTATGTGTGTGTATGTATATGTGTGTGTGTGTGTGTGTGTGCAGCCTGGACCCCCTCCGCCGCCTCCCACCCCATCTCTTGGGGAGCCGGGCTGCAAGGGACTGGCCAGACTGGCCTCCTGTGTGGGAAGACCCCTTCCCCCACACGCTCACCGGGTTCGGGTGTAGGGGTAGGCATTCCAGGACTCCTCGACCACACGCAGGGCGGCCTTGGGCAGGATGGCGCGGAACCAGCCAGGGATGTGCATGCCCACGTGGTAGACCTTGTGCGTGTACTGCCCGGAGCCGCCAGGGCCGTCCGTGTATGGCCGGTTCTCCAGGATCTCCACACCGCTGCCCTCGCCGTAGGTCTCGTTCCGGCTCTTCTTCTGCAGGGCGAAAGCGCTGTGATGCGCGTGGGGTGGGCATGCCCACAGAGTGCAGGGCTGGGAGAGGTCAGCCCACCAGGCCGACTCCCCCATCCAGCCCCCAGAGCCTGGCGCCTGGGTCAGCGTGGAGCTGTTCCCCCACCCCGCCCCCAGCACCCTCGGCCCTGAGAGCAGCTCAACACAAGCACTAGACTGAGAGAGTCCGTTTGACTCAGCACTGCAGGCTCAAGCCGGGCCCCAGGAAGGAGAAACAGGCGCACGGGGTGGCCAGTGCCAGAAGCTGGCCTTGTGGAAAGCTGCTGTGGCCTCCCCAGAGTGGCAGAATTATGCAGGAAGTTTCTCATCCAAGAGTCGCAAGATCCAAAATCAGCCCTCAACGTCAACGCAAGAAGGGAAACCAAGGAAACTTCTCCACTGACAAAGACATCGAAGAACCCACGACTTAGGGTGGACCCAGCCGTTCCTCAGAATCACGGCACCCAGTGTGGAAGGTGCTGCTATGTTATGTCTCTCTATCTCTGGGCCACCTCCAGCCATGCTCAGGGCTGACTCCTCGCTTTGTGCTCAGGGATCACTCCTGGCTGTGCTCAGAGAACCATATGGGACACCAACGGGTTGAACCCGGATCAGTTGTGTGCAAGGCAAGTGTCCTCTTTCTGTATTATCTCTCCAGCCCTTCTCATTTCCTAAATAAAACTGACTTCAAAGAAAATTTAAGCAAGGGGGTAAAAGACTTGTACTTAGAAACTACAAAACTCTAAGATATTGCAAGAAACGCTAAACATTAATGGGCCAGGGTGATGCTTACGGTAGAGCACTTGCCTTGCACATCTGGTTCAATCCTTGGTGTGGGGGAGGGGAGAGAACAAATGATGGACCGACAGCTCCGTTCGTGTGTTCCCATGCTGGAGTTTTGTGCTATACAGACCCACGGTCCTGAGCAATCCCTACTCCAATCCTAGAAGTGTTTTGGTGGAAAGGGAAAAATACAGCCTAAAATTTGTCTGCATTTTCAGGGACCTGAGAACGAGAACAATCTGGAAAGCAAAGTAGAGGCCCAGGAGAGTGTTCGAGGACTGGCCTGAGATCCACAGGCCTTATGAGTTGTGTGGTCCTTCTGCTCCCCCAGGCCCCTGAGCACTTTTGGGAACCCGCAGCCCCTGCTCAGAGACAGAAAGCCAACACAACAGCCCGGAGCACTCACAACACTTTTGGCCAAATGACAGTAGTCGAAACAGGCTGGTGAAAGGCCCTGGGGGGTGGGCGAGGGCCTGTGACCCCCGGGAGCCAATGACCATTTATAGAGGGCGAGAATCTTCTCTACAAACGCTCAGACAAGCTCTCCCTGCACGAGAGAGATGCGGGTTCACCGCCTCCTACGGGAACGAGGCTCAAAGGCTGACATCTAAGAATCCAGACGGAGACTCGGGGGCACATCGCTTGACCCTAGATGTTGTTGTGACTGATTTTGGGGGGGTTCTTTTTGAAGTTTGGGGTGAGATAGAAGTCAGCCCACAACATCAAAAGCAACTTCTGGGACTGGAGCGATAGCATAGTGGGTAGGGATTTGCCTTGCACGTGACCGACCCGGGTTTGATTCCCAGAATCCCATATGGTCCCCTGAGCACCACCAGGAGTAACTCCTGAGTGCAGAGCCAGGTGTGACCCAAAAAGCAAAAAAAAAAAAAAAAAAAGCAACTTCCTGGCAGTGGGGGGTGGTTACTCTGGTCCTTGGGGTGTGGTGTGTTGGCCCTGGTGGTGGTAGGGGACCAGGTGGTGCTGGGGACAGAATTTAGGTCTCCTGCATGCAGAGGCTGCACTGAACCTGATGCGCTTCCTCTGGCCCCTGATGGTTCCTTAGACACAAGGCCAGCGTGTTGGGCTGCTAGCAGATGCGCTCGCCTAGCAGGTGAGGTCTGGGCCCAATTCCCGCCACTGCAGATGGCAACACACAAAAACCAAAGGGACAAATGAATGGTAGATCAAAAAGATAAATCAACCAAAGGAGAGGAAAAGTTAAAACAAACTTTTGATAGCACGTGTGTTCACTGAGGTGCTGAATACAGTAGCCAGGATGTGGAAACTGCCAATGGCCAACGCCAGATGGATGGGCAGTGTCCTGGTCTATGTGTGCAACGGAATACTACGCAGCCGTGGGAAAGACGAAATCCTGCCACTTGTAGCAACCTGCTTGGAGCTGGAGGCGGCAGGCTGGACAGAATAACCAGCGGGAGGAGGACCAGCTCCAGATGATGGCGCTCACCAAACAGGGAAACGCATCCCCCCCCAACTGATAATGAGACAGCTGTGACCCAGAGGACACTCTGGAGAAAGGAGGGACAGTCAGTACATGAGCACGTTGCCATGGAGAATGAATCCACCGGGTGACTCAAGTTCAACAGAGAACTCCTCCATCCCGAGCTGCCCGGAAAACTCCAACAGACGTTTCCTCAAGCTCTGAAACAGCCGCGAGCCCCCGGAGCCGCCCGTGAAAGGACAGTGGGTGGATGCGTGCCCCCTGCTACGGTCCCCGGCAGCTCCTACCCCCACCTGCTGGGAAACAGGGTCTGCACAGGTGCAGATGGAATGAAGGGCTCGACCCTGATGCTGCAGAGGGACCCCCAGCAGCAGGGGCCCTAGGCTGCTGCCAAATGCCCCTGAGCACTGCCGCGGTGCACCCCCAAATACAACAAGAGATCTGCTGGCACTGAGGCTTCTCCAGGGAGAGCAGACGGGCAGATCCAGACGACGCAGGAAGACGAGGCACTGAGGGGTGAGGGGCCTGCACCCCAGCCCCAGCAACCCCGGCCTCACTCACAACCCTCCTCCCTAGCCCCACGTGGCCCAGAAGGTGGGTCGAGAGAGACTGAGAGGAGGGGAGTCGGCAGGGGCCCGGGCACCTTGGGGTGGCCAGAGCTGCGGCTGCCAGCCTGCCAGGAACGGTGGGCGGGCACAAGGCAGGGGCAGTCAGAGCGGGCAGCACTCCCAGAAGCCCCTGGGTCTGGGGGATCCTCAGGCCCCTTGGCCTCTTTCCTGGGTCTCTGCTCCTCCTGCCTCCGTTACTCTCCCCTCACCGGGACCCTCAGCAGACCTGCCCCAGGCACCGGGCACATCCCAAGCACTGGGGAGGGAGGGAGACCACCTGTGATCTGGCACGCTACAGGCTGGGGGTCCGGACTCGCGGCCTTGCTCACAGCCCCGCAAGTGCCTGAAGTCAGACAGCCTCCCTGGCACCCCCTGCAGGCGCCTGGCATACTGCTGACACGGCCTGCTGGCCCCATGTTTTAGCCTTTGCAGGGGAGGTTTGGGGGTATCTGGGGGCACAGGGCCACACCTGGGGTTGCTCAGGGGACCATATGGGGGAATGGGGTGAGAGGGGGGTGTAGGGACAAGTGGGGGTGTGGGGGGGCTGGGGTGTGGCGAGGGTCCTTGTGCGGGACTGATGACCTCCCGAGAGGGCAGGGTGGGTGCCTGGAGGAGCTCAGAACAGGCTCTCCTAGAGCAGGGGGGAGGGGCCGCTCTGCTCTGAGCTGCTGACGGTGCCCAGCGGGACTCGGGATGCAGCCCGGGGATAATTAGGGGCCAGGTGGCTGGAGAGGGAACCGAGAGGCGCCCCTGAGGCCTGGCGCAGGGCATTCTGTCCCTGAAGGCAGGGCTGACTCAAGGGCCTTCTGGGTGTGGGGGGCTGCAGGGAGCGGCCACAGGGGATGGGCACCCAATGAGGCCAGGTTAGGAGCGGGGCACCAGGAAGGGCGGGAGGCAAGGAGGGCCCCAGGGACAGAGGACAGGGGTCGGGTCTGGCCACGAGCCCCCAGACACTGGAGCTGGTGGGGGCGGCTCAGGGTCCGGCTGGACTCCGGGCTTTGTGCTCCTGGCCTCTCAGCCTTCTGCCCTCCTCCCCTCACGGGAACAGCTGGTCGTGGGGTCCAGGCAGGTGCAGGGCTGCACGGTGCCTCCTGGCCGGGCCCACCTGGATCATGTAGAGCTGGGCAATGCGGTACTCCTCCACGGTCATCGGCAGCGGGATTCGGTATTCCTTTATGATCATCTTGGACGCGGCCTTCCCGCGGTGGGAGACAGTCGCTGGGGTGTCGAATGCGGCTGCCTACACGGCCATGACGGGATTCACCGAGGACCCCTGCGCGGGAGGACAACCGGGGTCACTTCCTGCAGAGGAGGTGGGTCCCGGAGCTCAGGGGGCCTGGGGGACCCAGTCTGGCCCCACCCCCACCAGCGCCCAGCCTGCAACCTGGAGACCCACATCCCCCAGAGGCCTCCGCTTCCAGGCGGGCTGAGGAGTCTCACGGAGGAGTGGGGTGGACACTGATCGGGAGCCGGGGCTGGGGTCCCCCATGCAGGGGCTGGCAGGGCAGGGGGACCCCGCATGAGCCGGAGCTTCCCCAGGACGTGAAGGAGGCAGCTGGCAGGGATGCTGAGCAGCCACTGGTTATGGGGAGAGGACAGGTGGACGGACAGTAGACATCGGACACAGGACATGAGAGACGGGGCGTGCAGGGGGCTGGGGGGCTGACACGGTGCCCCTGCTCAGGCAGGAGGCGGAGTCACCTTAGGGGGTGATGAGGCACAGTGGGCATGTGCAGGGGAGAGAGACCTCACACGGGGTTCGGGGGGAACTCGGGGCGGGGTGGGGCCTCTCCTCGAGGGTCCCCCAAGTCCCAGGATTCCCTGGAGCCCGGCACAGCCCAAAGGACTCCAAACGCTTCCCCCCAAAGTGAGTGACTCGGGTCTCGGGAAGCTGCTCTTGACACACACGGGATGGCCAGTAGGGGTGACCTGGTTTGATCCCCAGGACCCCAAAGGGTTCCCCGAGCCCCACCAGGAATAGTCCCTGAGCGCAGAGCCAGGAGGAAGCCCTGGGCACGCTGGGGAGGCCCCGAAACCTAATAAGTGAAACCGAGCAAACAACTATGCCAACGACCTTGTCACTAAGATGGCCAAGGGCACCCGCCCCGCCCCGCAGTGCCTGCCCCTGAGGGTCTAACGTCCCAAGGGACCGGAGGCTCCACACGCCACGGGGCCTGGGAGAAAGTTCCAGCAAGAGTATTCAAAGTGACCCCCACATGGCTGGACCCTAGGACTCAACGGCCAAGCTCAGCTCCTGGGTAGCAGTTAGGATGGGGCTGTGCCCCCCGACCCCACCATGCCCCTGACCCCACGGAGTCCCCAACCCCACCATGCCTCAGACCCCACCGTGCCCCCCCGGCCCCACGGTGACCCCAATGCTGCCCTGGTTCTTCACGCACAGGTCCAGCCCGGTGTTGAGACACACAGTCTGTCCCCACGATCCTGGTCCCCCAGGGTCCCCTCAGACCTCCAACCTCCCATGGGAGGTCCCAGAACAGGACCCTGAAACGACAATGTAACCCTATGAGGGGAGAGAGAAGCGGGCCCAGAGCTGCTGAGTGGGGGGCTCGTGGCTGTGCTTCCTCTCCCCTGCCCTGCAGTGCCCTCCAGCTGTTGCTCGGGACCCTCCCCATTGTCCTCCCAGCGGGAGCACCCACCTGCTGCTCCCAGGGAGAGGAAAGGGCTGTGGGGTGCTGGGGAGGCGCCCAGGCCGGAGAGAAAGGCAGGTGGGGGGCTGCTGACCACTGAGCCTGAGACCGGGTGGGCGCCCAGCCCAGAGCCCCCACTCCTTGGCCCCCGGAGAGCTCGGGGGGCTCCATCTGGCTCAGGTAGGGGGGTCCCCCTCGCCCGCGGGCAGTCAGGCCCACAGCTAGCAGCTACTGGGTCTCCACAGAGCCGCTGGCCACCCCTCGCCCGAAGGGGCTATAAAGCATGGCCCAGCGCCCGGGCACGGCCGTGTGTCCCCCGCCGGCCTCTGGACACCACATCAACCTCACTCCTGCTCCCTGCCCTGCATACTGGCCACCGGCTTCACTGTCCTGGGCGGCTTTTTACTTTCTGGGGAGACTTTCCTAGTGGCTGCGCGGGGAGAGGCGGGCGGGGGCTCAGGGCCGGCCAGGCAAGCACGAGGCCGTGAGTTCAGCTCTGGGTGACCCCGGCGGCTCCGACACTCAGGGGCTTGTGAGCCCCGTCTAAGGCAACACTCAGGGACTTGCGAGCCCCGTCTAAGGGCGCCCCGAGTGCGTGCGTGCGACCCCCGCCACAGCAGACATGGGGGGAGGGGCGCCAGGTACAGAGACATAAGCTGATCCCTCCCGGCCCCCCACCCCGCCCACCCGCAGCCTTAAACACGCTGCCGAAGGCTCGCGATGCACCTGCCCCCTCCCCTCCAGGGAATAAGAATGTCTCAGCACCCGACATCAACTCCCTAAGTGAAAGCACCCCACCCCAAGGCCCCCCATCCCCTGCCCGAGGCCCCCCATGCCCGAGACCCCGCCACTCCATGCCAGAGGCCCCCCAAGCCCATGCCCGAGGCCCCACCACTCCATGCCAGAGGCCTCCCCAATCCCAAGCCCAAGTCCCCTCACCCCATGCCCAAGCCCCCCAAGCCCATGCCTGAGCCCCCCAAGCCCATGCCTGAGGCCCCCCACCCATGCTCGAGTGCCCCAATCCCTTGCCCGAGCCCCCCAAGCCCATGCCCGAGGCACCCACCTCATGCCCGAGCCCCCCATCCCATGCCCGAGGACCCCCACCCCATGCCAAGACTCCTGTCACCAGGGCTCAGGCGGCTGCAGATGGCAGCGTGCTGCGCTCGGCTCCCGGCCTGCTCCTCTGAAGGTTATTTTTACTCGGAGCTGCTCATTTTCCGCGCGCGCTATTTGTAGAATCCTTGGAGACTCGGGACCGAGGCGCTGGTGGTTTTTGGAGGGTTTACACGCGGCCCCCGCAGGGGAGAGTCCCCAGCTCCCCGTGACAGGTGGCGGGATCCCACCCGGCCCGCAGTCGCCCCTGGGCCCCAGCCCCCCTGCTGGCCCCTCCCGCTCCCCTGCACACCCCCTCCCCGCCCCCCCCCGCTCTGAGGCTCATTTCTGGAGCACCAGCCACGGGATCGGGGGCCATGTCAGCCCCATCCTGTCTGTGAAGGTGCCTCCCCCTCTGGACACAACTCCCCCTCTCTAGCGGCCTGGACACTGCCCGCCTCGCCTGGGCCAACTCGTCCCCACCCACGCCAGCCCACTCCTCTCCTCGTCCCCAGTAAGGAGACCCAAGGTTCCCGGGGACTCAGGTGGGAGGCTCTGTAGGCAGCGGCAGTGAGACAAAACAAATTCTCTAAGTCACAGGCTGTCACTGTCACTGTCACTGTCCTCCCATTGTTCATCGATTTGCTCGAGCGGGCCCAGTAATGTCTCCATTGGAGACTTTAAGGGCTCCTATTTGTTTTTCGGAGGGAGGTGCTCAGGCCTCAGTCCTGGTGGGGCTCAGGAGAGCCCATTCACAGCCGGAGCCCAGACCCCGGTCTAATCCTCGGGGCCCTGCTTGTCTGTGCTCGGGCTGAGAGCCACAGTGATGCCAAGCTGGCTGACTTCGGAAAAAAACTAAAAACAGGGAGCGACTTACTGAATTGATGTCGGTCATTTCACTGAGAAAACCTTAGTTTTTAGCTCGGTTTTCTAGAGAAGGTGAGGGAGACACTGGGGGTTGGGGGAGGGGGGATCCAGGGTGGCTCAGAGGTGAGAAACACCCACCTCACGGGCCCCACCTGAAAGCTGTGTGAGCACAGAGCCCAGAGCAGGTGTGACCCCGGGTACCCATGAGGCAACAGGAGGGGAAACTTTCCCTTTTAGTCCTCGGTCCAGGGGCCGGAGCGATGATAGCACAGCGGGGAGGGCGTTTGCCTTGCACAGGGCCGACCCAGGTTCAGTCCCCGGCATCCCATTGGGTCCCCCGAGCAGTAATTCCTGACTGCAGAGCCAGGAGTGACCCCTGAGCATCGCCACGTGTGACCCAAAAAGCAAAAAAAATAAAGTCTTCAGGCTAGAAAGAAGCTTCGGGGGTGCCCTGAGGTGAGATCCCACCCAGCAAGAAGCCCCAGCCCTGCAGGGTGACCCAGATCACTGCTGGGTGTGGCAAAAACAGATTTAAATTATAATTTCAAAAAGAAGCAGGCCAGAGCAACAGGACAGAGGGTAGAGAGCTTGTCTTACACATTGACAATCACGGTCCATCCCTGGCACCCCATAGGGTCCCCCGGACCCCACCAGGAGTGAGCCCTGAGCACCTCCTTGTATGCCCAAACCCCCAAATAATCAGGTAGATAAAATTAAACAATTCTGGGTGGGGTGAGTGGGCAGTGGGGAGATGGGGTGCTGGTGGGCGCCCAGCTCTGCAGCTAGAGTCACCGACGCTTCCCTTTGACACACAGAACTTCATACAACATCCTTTTCCTTATCGAGCCTTCCCACCATCACACTCTCTCTCACGCCTGCGTTCGACTCTCTAACTCTCAGACGTGTCGTTTCCTCCCTTCGCTCTCTCGAGGCAGCATCTCCCGAGGCCGAGGGCTGCTTCTGGTACTTCTTTTCGGCGGTCCCTCCGTGCGTTTTCCTTGCTCCCGGAGCAACGGCCGAGCTCAGTGACTTCTGTCCGTTTTTCTCCCTGCCACTCATCTTAGATGCTCCTACCGTTGTTTTATTTTCTTCATTCTGCTTCAAGATCCCTTTCCCACCCTGAGTTGGCTGTTCCTGAAGACCCCCCCACAGTGGAAAGGCCGTAGGGATCTCATGAGCCCACACGCGGTGACCAGAAGTGACGAGAAACTCCCTGTAGCTAACTGATGGGTCAGCCAGAAGCCAGCCGGGACGCGGTTTGGATGCCATCCGCGGGTTTTATTTATTTGGTTTTGGTCTTTGGGGGCCGCTCCCAGCACTGCTCCCGGGTCTGTGCTTAGGGGTCCCTCCCGGGGGTGCTGGGGGGCCGGAACAGGCGGCCTCATGCAGAGTGGGCCGTTAGCCCCGCATGGGCTACCAGCCCCACGGTCTCTGGGGGCCACTGGGCTCACTCTGGAGTCTCCGTACAGCTGGACTGTCTGTGCTCTGTGCCTGTGTCCCTGGAGAGCCCTGGGGCTTCCAGAGTGCCCCTGCGTCGGGGTGAAGTGTGAGGGGGTGGTGGCAGGTGGGGGCACCCTGGGGCGGTCCAGCACCCGAGGGAGGCTCTGCCCTGCACCCTTTGCACAATCCGCAATCCTGTCCGGTGGAACTCATCAGCGACAGGGCC